GTATACAAGGTTGTTTTCGCCCCGCTTTATTTTCGCCTTCTTACACTTGCAAACAATTTTGCCCTGTCTTAAATTTGCCCAATCACAGTTCTGTTTAAGAAATTATACTGTATTCTTTGAATTCTCCCTGTTTTAATTTCGCCCGGCCGAGGGTTGGGCGAAAATTAAATGGGGGTGAATATTTCCCTGTATACAGTAATAGGCTTAGGTTTTGGATGGAACATTTGGCCTGTCAGCTACAAACAGTTATAAATATTAGATTTTGAGTAGTTTGAAAATGTAGGATCTGACTCAACATATTTTGAAAATAACTGCATTGATCATTCTCGATCTTGCTCTGTTGGGTTGAGATGGGAGAATGTATCCTCCATTTGCATATTAACAGAACACAGTCATAGTTTCTTACTTTATCTCCAGGGTATTGAATGATTCTTTCATCTTTAAAGATTCATCCATTAATTTTCTATTTAGCCAGCTCCTTGAGGGATCTTATGAAAATTTATATGTTTACAAATTCTTTGTTTACAAATTGTTAACAAAAAATTCATTCTTGTGGATCAAATGAAGCAAACTTTATTTTGCATAAAATCACAATTTTCATGTATCAAATATAAATTATATAAACATTCACAAATTGTGAAAAAATATCATTCTTGTAGATCAAACAAAGCAATTTTTTTTATTTTGCATGAAACAAAATATATTAACAAATACAAGAAATTTATATTTACAACTTCAATCACATTACTTCCTGAGAATTTCAAAAAGTTAAAAAAAATGTACAAAGCATTTCAGATTAAAAATACATTGAAAAAGTTGAATATGAAAAGCAATGTCTGGAGGCAGTTGTTTAATTTACATGTACTATATATTTACTCTTTTCATGTTGCAATCCCTAATTTCATTTCAGGAATGCAGGATAGTTTCTCTTGTTTGACTTTTCTGAATTAAACACAATCAATGATCCTATTACTAAATGAACATTAAGGTTCATACTGAAGTGACATAGAAATTTGCAAAAAATCAGTGACAAAATAAAAATATTTCATAAAAACTTTCAAATAAAATTAAAACATGCTTTACATAAATTTAAGTAATTGTCAGCAGTCATGCCAAAGTTCCTACATGAACCGTTATATGTAAACAGAAAACATGAAAGACACTGTGAAGCACCCAATGGATCAGTACAGCATTTAAAATTGCATAGACACCTCTGACCCAACATTAGTGTCTGAACTGTGGTGATTGCATTTGAACTGAAACCTCCTTCTCAAACTCCTATGTACAGGAATAAACAATGTACATTAAATACTACTGATCCTCCTCTTTCTCAATGACAACATACTGGCTTTGTACAGAGGTGGTGGTGGTGTTTCCTGTGGTTTGCTGGATCTGCTCCTCACTGTACATAACCACTCTGAGTTGCCGCTTGCAGTCCTCGGGCACCTGGAACATCTTACCGTGACCCGGTATAATGTGATTGGCCAGCTGGAGAATTCCGATCCTGCCCTGTTCCTGGGAATCTGGGTCCTCGCTCAATGTCTGCCATAAGCTGGGGTCCTCCAAGTCATCAAAACACTCAAAGAGACCTCCTACAAATACCACATACTGGTTATGAATGTAGCAGATATTTTGCTTTTAACCTGTGAATATAATAGATAATGTAATGGTTTGGGTCATGCATATCAAGATACATGTACCGGTACATCAATTGTAAAAATTTTGTTTGGTAGAGCACCTGTCGGCAGGAGTCCCAGGTTTAGTGTATAGACAATTCATACATTCACATAGTATTGGGTAGGAGCAGTAACACCCAAAATCCCCTTTTTTCCCCAAACATTACTTTCTACTATCAAAAAGTTTCATTGAAAGAGTGGTTACACCCCTATCCCCCACTTTTTGTTGTAGTGTAGTCAAATCTTGGTAATGTGAAAGAAGGATATGGAGATAACGAACAGTATTCATAAAACAAGAGGCCCATGGGCCACATCGCTCACCTGAGTAACTTGGGTGATGCAGATCTTTTTTAAAGATTTGTTCTATATATATTTCTATGTAAAAATTAGATTCCCTATTGTGGCCCCGCCCTACCCCTGGGAGTCATGATTTTAATAATTTAATATCTACACTACCCAAGGATGCTTCCACATAAGTTTCAGCTTTCCTGGCCCAGTGGTTCTTGAGGAGAAGATTTTTAAAGAAATTTCCTATATATTTTTATGTAAAACTTTGTTCGGCCATGTTGGCCCCGCCCTACCTCCGGGGGTCATGATTTTAACAATTTAATATCTACACTACCCAAGGATGCTTCCACATAAGTTTCAGCTTTTCTGGCCCAGTGGTTCTTGAGAAGAAGATTTTTAAAGATTTGTTCTATATATTTCTATGTAAAACTTGGATTCCCTATTGTGGCCCCACCCTACCCCCGGAGGTCATGATTTTAACAATTTAATATCTACACTACCCAAGGATGATTCCACATAAGTTTCAGCTTTCCTGGCCCAGTGGTTCTTGAGAAGAAGATTTTTAAAGATTTGCTCTATATATTTCTTTGTAAAACTTGGATTCCCTAAAGTGGCCCCGCCCTACCCCCGGGGGTCATGATTTTAACAATTTAATATCTACACTACCCAAGGATGCTCCCACATAAGTTTCAGCTCTCCTGGCCCAGTGGTTCTTGAGAAGAAGATTTTTAAAGATTTGTTCTATATATTTCTATGTAAAACTTGGATTCCCTATTGTGGCCCCGCCCTACCCCCGGGGGTCATGATTTTAACAATTTAATATCTACACTACCCAAGGTTGCTTCCATATAAGTTTCAGCTCTCCTGGCCCAGTGGTTCTTGAGAAGAAGATTTTTAAAGATTTGTTCTATATATTTCTATGTAAAACTTGGATTCCCTATTGTGTCCCCGCCCTACTCCCAGGGGTCATGATTTTAACAATTTAATATCTACACTACCCCAGGATGCTTTCATATAAGTTTCAGCTTTTGTGGCCCAGTGGTTCTTGAGAAGAAGATTTTTTAATGACCCCACCCTATTTTTGTATTTTCTTGATTATCTCCCCTTGGAAGGGGTCTTGGCCCTTGATTTTAACAATTTAAATTCCCCTTCACCCAAGGATGCTTTGTACCAAGTTTGGTTAAAATTGGCCCAGTGGTTCTTGAGAAGAAGTTGAAAATGTGAAAAGTTTAAAGACGGACGGACGGACAGACAGACCAGGGTTTAAACTTAACGCTCGCCCACTCGCAAATTGCGAGTAAAAATTGGTGTGGGCTCATAAAATTTGTAAGTTGTTCGCCCACGTGGCGAATAAAAATTCTGCAGGGGACCGAATTCATTCCCAGTCCCCTTACTGAAAAACAGACATTTTATGCAGGTTTTTGATTTAAAACTACAGAAAAATGAAATAAATCACAGCAGTATGGTCCTATTGTTCGTAAATATTCTTCATCTTTTCCATTTGAAGTACTACACGATTTGTGAAATTCCCTAAAACGATCGTCTTTTTTTCCTTATTCGAATTTCCTCCAACCCTCTGTAAATGGTTGATACGTGAAAGATATACAAAATGGTTGATACGTGAGAGATATACAATTTTAATAACTCCCAACTACTCAGTCATATGAATACTAAGTGTTTTCACCTATTTCAGATATGTTGTAGTCAAAATATTTAACCTAGAAAATCTTATTGTGTCATTGTCAATTTATCAGTTGAAGACATGTACCAGGGCTATGTATTTATATATATATATGTATTACCAAGTTAAAAAAAAAGATAGTAAAAATATTTATTGAATACAATTTTATTTCCTTTGATTAAATATTTATATGACATCTGACTTTTATGACGCAAGAACTCCAATTTAAACAGATGAATTTATATATGTATTTCATTTGTATCTACTTTTTGTCCGAGTATCTATGCTTTTTTAAAAAAAAAATCACAGAGACTGTGGGCTAACAAATTTAGCAGTGGGCTCCTAAATTGGAAATGTCAGGAGCCCACATGGCTCGTGCAAATTTCAGTTAAGTTTAAACCCTGCAGACGGACGGACGGACGCCGGACAACGGGTGATCAGAAAAGCTCACTTGAGCTTTCAGCTCAGGTGAGCTAACAATACAAAATAGGAGCAGAGCAAACACGGACCTCTGAAACATCAGAGGTTGGATCAGGTGCCATGGAGGAGTGAGCATCCCCTGCTGACCGGTCACATCCGCCGTGTGCTCCTTGTCATGATCGGGTAATAACGGAAAAATCCGTTGTCAATTCAGTGTATAAATAATGGACTAACAATTCGTATGAAAAACGTCAGTCAGCATTTGACTCAATGAAACCACTCTTTCAATGAAAGTAATTGGGACCTCCCCCACTCCAGAGAGAATGGAGAGCAATTGTATGTTAATTTTACCTGTGACAGCAACAGTTCCCAGGGCTGTGTTTTTGACCAGAACAGATACATCAGAACCAGACTGGCCTGGTGTGGACACGACTTCAACCTCATCATCAATTTCATAGGGAATCCCCTATAAATATAACAGTCTCATCATCAATTTCATAGGGAATCCCCTACAAATACATTATAATCTCATCATCAATTTCAAAGGGGAATCCCCTAAATATATAACAACCTCATCATCAATTTCATAAGGAATCCCCTACAAATATATAACAACCTCATGCATCATCAATTTCATAGGGAATCCCCTACAAATACATTATAATCAATCTCATTGTCAATTTCATAGGGAAATCCCTGCAAGTATAACAACTTCATCATCAATTTCATATGGAATCCCCTGCAAGTATAATAATCTCATCATCCTTTTTGAAGGAAATTCCCAACAAATATAACAGACTTTAACAGCTTCATTGGGAATTAATCCCCTGAAAAGATAACAACTTCATCATCTATTTCATTGGGAATCCCCTACAAATATGACAGGAGATGTGTATGGTAAATTTCTTGAAGCTGAATAAATGGCTTATGGAGTTAGTCAGTATTGCTAACATTACATTGCATAAGGTACATGCAAATAAAAACAAGAATTATTATCCTCTAAAACTAAAATTATTGAAATTCATTTTGAACATGTGTATTATGTGCATGTTAATTTAATTTAATCAATAATTAGTGATGTCATATTAGTATCTACTGGTATTAGCAACACAAGGATACTTTTATCCAGCAAACTAAAGCAGCTATAATTTCACTCTTTTCATTCTAATTTAAAGTTAATTGTTAAATGGAGAGTATACTTATGTATAAGGAACAATACAAAGTAGCTTCAGTTCATATCTGAGCACCAATAATGAAAGCCTTGCCTGTTTGTTCAGCCATCACACTAACACATCACTGGCAAACACTACAAAGATATATTTGTATACATTTATCACATACCAAATTATATCAAGACACAAGTACAAACATTTAATCTACTAGAAATTGAAAAAATTCAGAGGATACCTATAAATATGATAAATATCAACTTAACTATTTGCCAATACATTTGAAAAATGAACTTTTAAATTTATGCCATCTGACTACAAAATGTTTTTGTCCCCTGCTTGAAAAGTGGGGGATATTAATTTGGGTCTGTCAGTCTGTCCGTCCGTCCTTCCGTCCGTCTTTCTGTCTGTCTGTAACACTTTCATTTCCACACGATATCTCGAGAACCCTTTGAGCTTTCGCAATGAAATTTTGCATAACAACTCCCTATGGACTAAAGAAGAACCCTATTGATTTTGAGGTCAAAAGGTCAGTCATAAATTTGCATATTCTGTTTGTTATAACACTTTCGTTTCCACACGATATCTCGAGAACCTTTTGAGCTTTTGCAATGAAATTTTACGTAACAACTCCCTGTGGCCTAAGGAAGACCCCTTTGATTTTGAGGTCAAAAGGTCAAAGTTCAAGGTCGTAAATTTATACATTCTGTCTGTATGAAACACTATAATTTCCGGGCGATATTTCAAGAAGATTTTGAGCTTTTGCAATGTAATTTTATACCAAAACTCCCTAGGACCTCTCTCACCCCTCTCAAAGTGTCCCGCCCCGTTTGTTTTATTAGTATTTATTGTATTACATGTCGCTATTTTTAGCAAAGGGGCATGAGGAGAGTTATTACGTATAAAACAGGTTCTTGGTGGACTTTACATTCTTATTACATCTATTAGAACTGTTTAATAAAGGTTAAATAATTAGACACCATGCATTGTGTAAAATTTTGACAATATCGAACGTGAATATATACATGTATGTGACTTCATGTTTGCATATAACTTTTCCCAGATTGAAGCGGCTCCATGGTCTAGTGGTATGTCTCTCGCTTCACATTTGAGAGGCTGCGGGTTCGATTCCAAGACGATCCATTTTTATTTTTTTCGAAATACTATTTTTTTTTAACTGAATGATAGTATTCAGCATGTGAAATGAAAAATTTTTGAGGTCTGGCTTGTACAAACTCATAAAATCATCATTACAGTGTGATAAATATTCCAGAATCTTCTATACACATAATAAAGAATAAGCAATCAAACCTTTATATCCATATTGGCATATTTTATTTGCTTCAGTATACATGTATACATTTAATAATTCTACAAATTCAATCAAGGGGATCCGACCCCCACCCCTTCCCCTCCCCCAAACTGCGCATGGTTTACTTTTTCCCTAAGCGGGGGACACAAATTCTCTGAATTAGCTTGATTTTTTTAAAATTGGAATTCACTAAATTTTAAAATGATGTTATAATCACTTTCCTATCTGTTCTATTTGGATACATCTTTGTATTTTTCTGTCATAAATTATACTTTTCCTCTCAGAAAAATATAAAGTCAATATCACAAAATAAACATGTTAAAAGAATAAGAAGTTATATGAAATTAATTGCCAATTAACCTTTTGAAAATTAATGTATTACAAAATTATAAATTGTGCAAAGGTGATAATGGAAAACAAAGAAATAAATGAATTTTTTCAAGGCAATTATTTCACAGTTATTTAGTATAAAAATAATGTATTATAGAACATCTTGAAACACTGCCGTGTAACAACAACTCCCTTCCTTTATTTCATTTTCATACATCCTGTATATATCATCAATCGATTTTCAGAGCACCAACCAAGACCAAAGATTCAAAAGATGGGTACAAATACCTGCTTAAATGCATGGTCGAAGAAGTTGTCTTCAAAGCAAAGTTCTCCTGAGACAATGTGTTTAGCCTTTGTAAATAAGTTCAGGTTACCAACTTTATCTGACCGACCACTTGTACAAATAACATAGTCCACATCCATTGGAGTTAACTGGTACTTCTGTAATCCTGAATAATATAAAAAGTCCTAAGCAAACTAATATTTATTATTATACCTCTATTGATAATACTCGAATTTGATTGGCTGGTAAGAAAACTTTAAAACACAACAATGACTCCAAATGGTACTGTTTACAGCAATAATGACCTAGGAATCATTGCATATGGGACATAATGACCGGTCATTATAATTAATGACCGCTTAATAATGACCTCTTAATCAAAAATTCCTTTTTGAGTGAAGTTAATGCATAAAATAATAATCATTCGAGAAAACAACACGTTTTTAAAATTGTGCATGGTCTGTTTTGCATTACCATACAGAATACAGCAAAATTTTATTGTTAACTTAAACGCTTTACTCATTTCAAAATATAGTTTCAATTCAGTTCTGGAATGTAGAAGCGGCTCTGTAAAGAGTTTAATTCTATATTAGATTTTGACTGGGTAGAGGAAAAGTAATCGTTAGTTATAACAATGTACATGTATGTCGCTATCAACCAAATATTATTTTAATCAGTAAATCATGATGCAAAAACTTACACGACTTGCAGACGTCAATGTAAACAACTTCACTATACGGAGTGTAGAAACCGATACATAAAGAAAGCGGTTAGAGATTCATACTTTTCAATATATATATATCGATATAATAAACAATTGATTACCCCTTTTGAGTTCAACATGGTGAAATAAGGACCCTCGACCTAGCTGGGCCACTTGATCACCTGCCCTGACCTCGGCCGCTACGCGGCAGGAACCTCGTGGGCCAGGGGTCCTTATTTCAAGACCTCAAAAGGGGTAATTAATTGTATAGTGTTAACTTTTCACTTGAAACAGAAGTATACAAGACTTTTACAACAATACAACAGTGCTCTGCACTATTTATTATGTGTGATTTTGTTACCGGTACTAAGTATTAAGGCAATAACACAGAAAAACATCCATTAGTATCAGAACAGTAAAATAGAAAGCCATGATATATACAAGGAAAATATCCCCCCCCCCTCCAAAAAAAGAACAATATAAATTTTCACAATTTAAATATAAAAATTAAATTGATTGTCAAGAAATCACCTTGAAGAAGTAAATCTTTGTCCCATGGATTCCCTGTGTCAACAATGATGTTATGTAGGCCTTTAATTAAGGTGATGCTGCCACTGGTTTTCATCTGACCTAAAGTGAGAATATAAACATATTCAATGTACATGCAAGTAATTTGTAATTTAATCAGTCTGTAAATATTCATCACATCAGCTCGTTAAAAAGTTACTAGACCTTGTGTTTTTGAATTATATGCATACCAGGTTTTAAATTATCATTTTTCTTTTCAATTACATGTACATGTATAAAAAATATATTCTGAAATTATAATAAAACCTTGTTCTTTTGGAATACTGTAGCCTTCTTTTAGAACCAAAACTTCATACATTTTGTTGATATGGAAATGTAGTTATCCTACAAGATAATGAAAATTATTTGAACATTTTGAATAGCAATAAAACTGTCTTCCTTTAAATTAATTCAGTTAAAATATGTGCAAGACATTTTCATAAAAAATTACAATACACAACTTTCATTTCAGTCTTTTCTCATTATTCAACAGTTCAAGTTTTTTTTTTTCAGTACAAAATTCATTATGCTCTTCTCTAAATTTGCTTTTTAAAATGCAATCTTACAAGTTCTTAATTTTCTTATAAACAATATTTTATATCATCAAGTTTTTTCTATTCTATGGCAACAGAATTTCAGTGACAAATAAACATTCGTAACATGGTGGCCATCTCAAAGGACTGTCTTTTTTTTGAGAAGAAGGAAAGATAGAGGGTACTGTACATGGAGTTTGACATTCATCCTTGACATACAATTTTAACCATGGACCTCAGTTGGTAAAGGATGAACCAGTTGGTGCTAACTATGCCAAAATGGAGAGAAAAAAATAATACTAAAGACAGCTTTTTGTTAAGGATGGGATGATGAAAATACAAGGGGCAACAGTATCTTAAAAAGTTTTGCTATGACCTTGACCTCTTACCTGAAAGTTAGTTTAAGGTCATTGCAAATTTTTTAACCCTAAACTCTCTATGGGTTATATATGTCAGAATGAGATAGAACCACAGAGTGCAAATGTATGAAAATTCTAAAGAAGGGCTTTAAATTAGAATTATAACCTTGATCTTTGTTCTAAAAAATATGGTTCAAGGTCACTGCATATCCTCAACCGCAAGCACTTTATGCTGAAGTATGAGCCATATTGGCATGGTTTTTGAAGTAAAAGAAAGAGAAAATTCAGACTCTAATGATGATAGGGATTTCTGTTTAATCTCCCTTGCAGAGTTGTCATTCATGGATCCTCTCTCAGACACCTTGCGATATATTGGGCTAGCTTGCATGAAGATTCTTGACATAAAGAAGACATTCAAAAGATACTTTGAACTGGAGGTACTGTGAGCAATGAGCTCACTAAATGATACCCCCTGCTTCCCATATGGATATAATGGCAGTGTCCATGTTTTGCTATGGGAAAACCAAAATATGTGTTGGATCAAAATGTAAATAGGAGGTGCACAATGGCACTTTATAATAAAGATTCATTGAAAGTCTCATCAAATTTTCTTCAGTGGTATTAGAGGAGTTGCAGATATTAGATGGGTACCTCAGAACGTAACAGATGGACAGACATCCCGATTTCTATATACCCTCCCGCTTTTCAAGTGGGGGGTATAGGCAAAGGCACTTGTTTCATAAGTAAACCTAGTTTTCTACTATATACCCTCGTGTGCCCATATTTCGACAGTCATTTAATGTGTTGCAATATTTTATGTTATGTAAACAATAATCCACTAAAATAAATTGAGCGGTAAATACATCATTCAAATTATATTCCTTCCTGTGTAAAGATTTAACCAATTTGTTTTATCTACTTCTATTGGTGAAGAATTCAAAAGTGACATATAAACAATGGGCGCCGCCACTCTCTCATTACGCCCACTTTTAACTCTCTTTGACTTGCTGAGCAATCAGGAAGGCCAAGCAAAACAAATTTTTAGTGGAAATGAAATTAGATTTATTTTTTGTTAAATAAGGTAAATTAATAGCAACAATTGTAAATACAATGTTTGATTTCATAATCATTTTTACTCCTCAATGCAGTGAGTTGCTGAGGAATTTGTCATGTTATCGGACAACCCTTGTACTGCAACAGTACCGCAGGTGTGTCACTAATTACATGGCATCCCACTCATGCCATCACAGTGAGGGTGAATATTAACAAAATGGCATTGGTGTAAACTTTTTACACACACAACAAAGGTCCTTTTCCAAAATGACCACCTCCTCCTCCTCAGTATCACTGTCTTCCACAACAATAATTTTTTTTTTTACACCAGAAAAGCTGCCCCTTGATTTCATCTTATATTTCTCTTGCCTTTTCCCTTACCATTTTGTTCATCTTCATGTTGCACCATCTGATCTTTTTTCTGTTAAACAGTGGCCAGAGAAAAGTATGGTTTTTCTCTAAAAAATCTTAGCGACTCCCTCTCTCTTTGCATTCCTACAAGCTGTTACTTTTTCAAAGAATGTTGTGTCAACATTTTTTCTCTAATCGGTTAATCATCTTTTGAACTGTCAGATATCTCGTTTTCCAGTGATAAATATTTCTGCAGGGGGGGGACTGTCTGGTGGAATTACAGCTCGCGAACATGGGTAGATGCCAGTTTTTTAATATTTATAAGTTTTCTAATGTATGGCCTTATATACACCTTGCAAACTATATGACAAATGTTATATCAACGGTGTGTGATCAGTTATATTTGACATTCTGAATTGTACATTTTCTTAGGTCCATAACAGCCAACATCCAGTGGTTGTAGAATGTGACTTGTGTGTTAGTATAAACAATATGATGTTCCTGTCTCTTGCCCACTGGACAAGTCCTACAGAAGTGTGTGATTTGTGCCCGTCCATAACAGAAGAACTTTTTGACCATCCTTGATAGGGACATGCTTCAAAAAATGATCTTCTAGGAACTCACGGAATAGCTGTGAATTGGACCATCCTGTCTCTGAGACTCTGCCTACTTGGTTTGCACCTTCCATTAACTCTGGCATCATTCTCTTCCCCGCAAATATGAAAAAAGGAGGAATTGCTGTACCATATTCCACAACCAATCACTGTGGTGGTACTTGATTTACCTGCAGTGACAGCTTGAGGTGGAAACTGGTTACCACAAACAACAAAAGGAGGAGTGTGGTTCTGGGTAAATCCTTTTTCATCCACATTGTAAATTAGGTAGGGGACTTGTCAAAACTATTCTCTCTATACCTGTTCCAGTTCTTTGAAATATCTGTCAACAACAGGAACTGATGCACACTTTGCCCTGACAATTTCTACTGAGGCTTAAGGACTTTGAGGCCACCTGCTCACGAACTGAAACCACTTAAGAGAGAATGGGTGCTGCTTATCTCTAATACCATTTTGGACTGCGTAATCTGAAGCCAGGTCTACAACCTCTTGGCGAGTATATCCATAGCCATTTTTTGCCATGACCTTTAAATGTTCAACAATATTAAGATTCCTGGAGTGTATCTAACAAAGGACTCCTCCCACTCTTAACTGTTTCAGGATCAACATTGCCTAACACACGATCTCTGAGGGTTGTAATGGGCACATTGTATTGCCTTGCTGCTCCATAACAGCAGATATGCATTAGTAAGGGAAGTTGGTGAATACAATCTGTAACAATGACTTTTTCAAAAGCCTACAAATAAGGTAAAACAATACATTAAGCCATTGAAATTTCAAAAGTCATATCTTTTTTTTTCTTTTAAATAAAAAAAATGTTCTAATAAACTAAAAATAAAATTGGTTTGGCCTTGTTTTCCATATACCAAAACAAAGTATGTAAATTTCAGTACTGGATTGTCAGTCTATGCAGTTGACATTTTTTCAAGTTATGTGCAGAGAGCTTATACCAGTAACCAGATTTCATATTTGCATCAAAAAAGTGATATTGCGTAAGACAGACATTTTTTCGCCTTAAACTATGTGAAATAATTGCTTACCTGTTTGAAATGCATTTTCATAGATGATGCAGGTAAAAAAATTCAATTGGTACTATGTTTACACACACCAGCCCGATCTCGCGAGAACGAACGAGATATAAACAAAAGAACGAAACCGTCGAAATTCGGACCTTCGACCATAATAACAAAACTAGGCTTACTGTATGAAACAAGCGCCTGTGAATTTAACACACTATGTCTCGTGTTTATCACTGTGATATGCATGATATGACCCAAAACTTTTTTTATGATTGATATTTATTAACAGCTAACCTCCCCCCCCCCCTTTTCATCCCTCACTCTCTCATACGCCCACTTTTAACTCTCTTTGACTTGCTGGCATGTCCCTTTCGTGAAATACAGTTTTGAATAAATTTTAAGGAGACTGACTCTTAAGACTGAAGTTATTTACCGTCTCTGGTTGCTGATGAAAATGATGCTTATCCAATTCTTGTAGGAACATCCGGTTTCACTAATTACCGATACTACGAAAGTGGGGGTTTCAAAATGGCATTAGCCGAGATCCATAGTATAGCGTTCTCCAAAATGAACATGACTTCTTTTTTTTCACAATAATTTTTTTTCTTACACCAGAAAAGGTGGATTTAATTATATTTTTTCATCCTTAATTTATAATACCCCCCCCATTTTTTTCATAGATAAGCTAATCAAAAAAGTATTTTAAAAAATCTTAATAAATGATTAGTTTTTCACTGGAATGAAAGTTTTTCACTCTGGATCGGTTAATACTAGTGGGTTCATTCTTCGGGAGTGATGAAATCTTTGTCATCCGGGGGGGGGGGGGGGGTTGTAAGCGTACAAATACTCAATTAATATTTATAACTTATTATTAATGTATGTTTCTATATAGCCCCCTCCCCAATTTGAACAACAATTTGATCAGTTATATGTTAATTTTAATGTACTTAACCAAACATAAAGTTTTATAAAGTTAATAGTTTATGTAACATCTTACTATCAAGACTCTAATAGCAAATGAAAAGTGCAAATAAACTATGTAGATTTCTCAAATTTGAGAAATGAATTCTATTTAATTGTATATGATAGTTTACAACACTTACACTATAGCTTGGCAAGAGTCAGAGGTATTGTAGTTAAACACACCGCAAAATATAGACCGTCAAATATCAGACAAACGAAATATACAGGCAGATTGCCCAAAGGCACTTAATTGTTTCGTATATACGGGGCATCCGAGCCCTACTTATTTTTACCACCAAGTAGGGGGTGTCCCATATACAAAACAAGTGCCTTTGAGAATGCCCCAATCTCTCGAAAATGTTTATAAATTTATACTAGTACATGTTGTATGAATGCATGTTCTTTATCTTTTAATTCTTTCAAATTAATGATATTAAAATTGTTTCTGGGGTTACTTTTTACATGATTTCAATTTGTATTATATGAAAGTACTGAACATTTTTTACGAAATTCAATCATATCCGTAATGAAAAAAGGGGAAGGGGCTATGACGCCATAATGGAATACATCACAATGCCATGACGTCATAATAACATACTTCTTATGTATTCTTGTTGTTGGATACACGTACGTAGAGCGCCATGGGTATATTTCAGAGTTGCCTTGCAAAGCATAACAGGGTAGGGGTGATGGGGAAGGAGGAGATGGAGACGTATGAAAAGGTACGTCGGACAATGATCACGGAGGATTTGACTGAGAGGAAGGGCGGAATGGCTTTTGATCTAACATTTCTCACCGAGGATTCAGCACTTAAGCTGCAACCTGGACCACCTAGTCGATTGACAAATGACAAAAAAGAGAATTTTGAATATTGGAGAGGTAAATTAAATTGTAATCTTTATTTACATGTCATTTCAGAATGCAGTTTTTGTGAGCATTTTTATGCGCCCGAATCCCGGATCGATAGATCCGATGCGTATATTGTTTTTGTCCTGTCTGTTTGTCTGTTTATCTGTTTGTCTGTTTATCTGTTTGTCTGTCTGTCTGTTGTCAACTTTAACATTTGCCCTAGCTTTTGAACCTTGAGAGGTAAAGACTTGATATTTGGTATGCATACTCCACTAAAAAAGTTCTTTCAAAAGACACCAAGGTCAATGACCTTGTGACCTAGACTGTGACCTACAAGCTAAAAATAGCTTTTTCAAACTTTTTCCGTAACTTTTGAACCATAAGAGATAGAGACTTAATATTTGGTATGCTTGCTTCATTAATTAAACTCATACAAATGACACCAAGGTCGACGTCAATGACCTTGTGACTTTGACTGTGACCTTTATGCTAAAAATAGCTTTTTTCGAACTTTCGCCATAACTTTTGAACCATAGGAGATACAGACTACATTTTTCGTATGCGTACTCCACTGATAAAGTTCTTTCAAATGACACCAAGGTCGTTGACCTTGTGACTTTGACTGTAAACTATATGCTAAAAATAGCTTTTTCGAACTTTCACCATTACTTTTAAACCATAGGAGATGGAGACTTTATATTTGGTATGCATACCCTACTAGTAAAGTTCTTTCGAATGACATTAAGATCAATGGCCTTGTGACCTTAACTGTGACCTATATGGTAAAAATAGTTTTTTTTAACTTTGTTGCCGCCGGGCGCATAGTGTTTCACAAACACATCTTGTTGTTTAATAATTTGTGCCTTTTATAATTTTTGAATAGAAAATCAAGAAAAAACACAAGCAGAGAAGCAGGAGAGGGCCCAGCAAAAACGAGAAGAGGTTCTTGTGCAGAAAAAGATAGAAAATGCACACAAAGAACTGGATCGACTTGAAAAATACGCCAATCTTTGCAGTTGATTTACACCTGGACTTGGATCAGATTCAGCAAAAACATTTCTTCTAAATTACAAATCGCTTTGATCCAAAGGCAAAGAAGGGACATCAAGCTCTTTTATGTATGCTTCTAACTGCTCTGTTTACCTTACATTGTCATCTTTTCACAATGTTCGATCTGGCATCTGGCATTCTAAATAAATATATCAATTAATTTATCTTGTAATGGGTTCTTACTTATTCTTTGTCATTTGCTTGGTTTTATGCTATGTCCATTACTCTCTTATGAACAACAATGATCTCTTATCCGAAAATTATCTTAACGATCATTCATTACCGTATTTGTGCAATTTACAAGTATTCGAACACGATCAGATCTTCTTAAATGTACTAAAATTCAATTTCTCCGTTTTCTGAAGTTTATTGTCACATGACCTGAAGCATACGGTCATGTGATGCAAACAACTTTCAGTTAGTTCTTTTATTTTAAAACCTTCCAAAACATCGGTTTTGAAGACAGGAACACGGAAAGAGTCAGTCGGTCCTCTACCTGTTTATTATGAATAAATTTTCCAAACGCATATGGCATGCAAAAGAAACGACTCACTGAGTTACACGACATTCTCCTAATTCAGAGGAAAAGTTTAAAATTGAACTGTCTAAACGTACGTTTGTTACTTTTTATTGTAACAGTAAAAGTTGAATTGTCTGTCTGTAAAATTTATGAGTCGAAACAAAGTACATGTACATTTTGTATTTCTGTTTTGCACAAAAAGGTATCAATTTTTTTTACCAGAACGGCACTGATTGTTTTACGTGCATTCATTCATATTTAAAAATACACATAGGTTACGTCAATCTTCAAGATCCGATTTCTTTTCACATTAGTCCAAAATATCTTACGTTTTCCGGGCTTTTTCACGATTTTTATATTTCACGTGCCAGAAAAACGTTTAAACTCGCGAAAAAAGCCCGGAAAGCATTAAGATAGATAATAATAATGTAAAAAAAAAAAAAAATTACGACTATCTTCGCAAAGCTAAGGATTTCGCCCGAATCTGATCAAAAACCCATTCCATAGGACTAAATCATAATATTGTTTGTTTGCCCTTAGCCGACCGACCCATGAAAATTAGCCCGACTCAAAATATTTTATTCTACTTTTCAATAATATATTTTTTTTTTATTGTTAATAAAAATTTCCGAATATACTAGTACATTTTGTTTCTTGAAGCATTATCAGTTCCAATGAAAAGAATATATGTACATGAACATATTGATTTTTTTGTTTTGTTTTAATAGTAATCTGATTTGAACTCAAGTAGAAAAAAATATTTTTCCTACCTACCTACCCATTCCTAAAAATCTGGGTCGGTAAACAAACATGTTTTTAATTTTGGCCTTATGAAGGATTTTTTATATTCTCTAGATTTCGGCTTGCGAAGATAAAAAAAGGGGATACTAGTACTTATCCTCTCATTCTCTGGATTAAAAGTGACTAATAGATGAAATTAATAATGTCTGGTTACTCTTGTAGAATTCCTTTCATCTTTGTAAGTTAAATTTTATAACTTAAAGATACACATGGTCCAATGGGTAATTAAAAAAAATATATCATGAAATTAATAAAATGATCACTATACAAATATTTCGTCACTTTTTTTGTCGACATGATGAGGCATAGGCGATATTGTCATTTAATCACTTCATAATTTAACAAATAACCAACATATAAAAGGATTAGCAGTAATTATTTACTGTCACCCATTCGTCAAATAAAGCAAAAAAAAAGTATCAACTTCCGCCATTTATTTTAAACTTGTAAATTACATATTTCTAAAATATTTTGAAGGACTCCAGAGAATTGTCATCCAAGTCGTTGTTCAGTAGAGAGGTTCCTGTAGAACTAGAGACGGACGAGCTTCCGAGGGTAGGCATAAAACCGGTCCTTCCTGAAAATAGGTTCCATCCATCGTCATAATCATCAATACTATTAAATGAGGAAGCCACGTTTCCGACGGTGCTTGAAGAAGAGCTAAAGCCAGAGTTGAAGAGGCTATTCCTATCGTCGTCACCACCAAATGACAAAGGAGAAGACATACTCCTCAAGCCTCCCATAGACATAGACCGCCTGAATGGATTAAATAGGTTATCATCATCAATATTGTCATTTAGAGATCCCATAAGCGGAGAAAAGCTTCTGCGACTGCCCATTGTTGTAGAGGGCATGTTTAAATTAAAACCGTCATCAAGATCATCGAAACTATCGCCAAAACCTCGCATTGGTGACAATATGCTTCTTCTATTTCCTAAGGCACTAGAGAAAGGCCGGTTAAATCTGAGGACATTGTCATCGTCGTCATCGACACTAAATCCTCGCATTGGGGATACCCTACCTCTGGTGCTGCGAGAAAACGGCCTTAGGATATCATCATAATCGTCATTTAGGCTGCCAAATCGCAAAGGTGAAAGAGAGCGCCTCCTGGTTCCCAGGGTTAGAGGGACTTGTCGGTTAAATCTGAAGAGATCATCGAAGTCGTCGTTATCGTCACCGAAGATTCGCCTTGGTGAATATATGCTTCTCCTCGTGCTTCGAATGGTTCCAGGAAAAATGCTTCGTCTGTTTTGACCTAATGTCATCAGTCTCCTAGATCCAAACAATCGTGAATAATCATCATCATCATCGTATGGCGTCCTGATAGGTCTTCCTAGGCTCTGTCTTCTCACTAGGGGTCGCCTAATTCTCAAAAATCTTAAGTTATCGTCATCATCGTTCATTGACGTCATGAGAGGTCTTCCTAGATTCAATCTTCTTACTAGGGGTCTTCTTCGAACGAGGAGAGCACTCCTTCTCATGGGAGAAAACATATTGTTATCATCACCTAGAGATACTACCCTTCTGAGACCCCCAGGGGCTACCCTGGTTAGACTCGTCTGAGGGAGGGTTCCGCGCTGGAGACGAAACAAGTATGGATTGCCATACGTTCTCACAAATCTGAATAGTATAAAATAAAAGTTTTTAGCGGTTTTATCTAATAGGTGGGTTAGTATCCGCGACATATATTTACATGTTTAAGGCGATGTCAATAGAATGTTGTAATGAGAAAACAAGAAGCATAAATGAAACAAGAATATTATAACACTTCCACGCAACGTTTGGCAAATTACATTGCTACAGTTGAATTTCAGTATCACGAATACCGATATCTCGAATACCATGGATGTATCGAAGTGATTTGGAAGTCCCAATTACTTATTCTTTAAGTATTTTACCCTTGATGCGTCGAATTCTCGGATTTCTTAAGCTTGAAGTATTTCCTAGGTCCCATGCATTGAGTTCAAGATAATGAAATTTAACTGTATAATTAACTTATTAATTAAAGTAAACGAAAATAGTTTCTTACATGCATAAAGAATAAAATCAGATCTAACCTTGTCTGTTGAGCACCGACAGCTGTCACTAGAAACAGCAAAGCACAGCAAGCCGTCTTCATTATTGAGACCCTGTAAGAAAAAGGTAAGGAAATTGCATGGAGTTATCAGGTATAGACAAATCGTCACAAATGGGGAAATAACCTTGTGTTTAATTAAGATCTAACGCAGGGACAAACATTCAGTTTTCTGCTATTAACAAATTTTATATTGTTTGTCTTGATGAGATTCAAACTTCTTGCCGTCAGTTTTAACAATCACACGGATATCCTTTCTTTCTTCTTCTTTTTTTGAGGGGGGGGGGAGGGGCTTAAGAGTATCTCTCAATTTACTAAAAATAATAAAATAATGTACGAACGTAAAAATTGCTCTTAACTTTTCTTGCTATACATTTGTACATGAAAATAGGGTTGAAGGGAATTTGAGAGAGATAATGCGAAATTATGAAAAAAGACAAATTATATAATATTATAGTTTTAAATAAGACTTATTTTTTTCAAAATATTCAGCCATTTTTAAAAATAGAAATACCTTAACAAACCAAATTAGTAAGATCATTTATACTCTTTTTCGCAATATCTAATGAACATAAATTTTAATGAGTTTGTATTTCCCCACAAACATGACAAATTACAGATAATAATATTTCAGCAACGACAAATATGGATCTGATAGACGAATTCTGAGTCATTATCAACTGCCCCCTACGATGCAATTTTATTTAGGAGTTCGGCACAAACATTGGGGGATTTTCCTTGAAAAGCAATAAGCCATATTTTCCATTTTATGCTGTATATCGATTAGATCATGGGGGAGGGGGCACTCCGCCCCTCGTTTTTTTTCTCCAGTTCACAAACGTCTTAAAATCTCACCAGAATAAAAATACATATAAAATTTCATTTACAATGGATCGGAAATTGACAGAGAAACTTTGAGCCTATATCGTTTTTAGAATAATAAATTAAATTTTGACTCTCAGATTGAAATTTTTTTTTCATTACTAGTAATTGATCGTTCTAATTATGATTAAAAAGGTTTTTTTTTAAGAAGCACCGAGTTCCCTGCCTTTTTCTTTAAAATGCTTACCTGGCGATGACAACAGAATGGTACCAAGTCTTAAGAGCTAACTGCTCACCTGGTAGTTCGTCGAAGACTTTAATACCTGAGTAGTACTGAGGTTAACATTGCGTTTGACCGATGACGATCTCATCCATTAATGGAATGCGTACAATAGACGCGATTGTAAATGAGCAGGTTATTGGGTAAGGTCTAACAACAAATGAAGATGGAGTTGATATGTAGAAGGAATTAATTATCGGTTTTGAAGATTTACAAAACATGTCCTAAATATTTATGAAAATTTAAAAAAGTTCAAGTTAGTTAAGTTTAAAAAATGGAGTTACATGTTCTGAAGTGTCTATAAAGCCCATCTTTGATATTTAAATCAGAGAAAATTTAGATAAAGAATAATAATTAAAAGTATCTAATTTAAGGTTAATAGTTTAGACCCTTTCATCGTCGCAAACCACGGCCAAAATGCACGACCTTCTCTCATTCTGGGTAGGAGAGAGCCATATGCTGACTCAGAACCGTGGCTTGAGACGATGTTATTTAATTAAGGCTTTTTTTTGTCCTTGGTACTTTGTCTGAACAAAAAAAAAATTGATACAACTAATAAATGCGGGTAATTTTTGTATGCTACCAATGAAATGAAAAAGAACATAATCCTGCATGCAAGAGTTGCGTTTTTTAATGAGGGAAAAATAATTACCCCCTTCCACCCCTATATCCCTTAACTAAATGATATTGCAGTGTTAACTGTTACGAAACACTGCGAATACGTGGGTCATCTAAATCCTGGATTTTCACTACTGCCATTTTGCACATGACCGATTTTTTTTTGGATCGCCGAAACCCTTTAAATGCGGTCAATTCCCGTCGATTTTGTAACATTTAGATGTATTGATTTGAACTTTGCAACTGAAATGCGCTCTTTATATCATTTAGTTTGTATCTGATGGTAGCATGAAAATGGTAAAATTTTGATATTAATTGCAATAATTTCGAGATTTCAAAACATGAATAATAATCACCCCGTGTTCACTCTTTTTCCCCATTGGAATTGCAGTCAAATGCCCAGAATGATATCTGAGGGAATAACTGTCTAGTTGTTGTTCGATTTTTGTGTATTCTAAAGATTTTTTTGTTTAGTTGTTTTTAGATTTATGATGTGATCACACAAATTGCTCCTGTTAAAATTTGCATAAACTATGCAATACAATATCACGTGATCAAAACACCAGACAGCTTTCCTTTTTTGACCTAAATGAAATCCTTCATGCATTGAAAAAAAGATATTCACGTTACTTTTAATCAATAATAGAAAATTATGACTACAACCTGTACCCATTGAATTGTTGTCATTGAATGAGATGGTTGATAACCTTGTTACATCAACATATTGGTCAATAGCTTGTCTCGCAAAAGAAAAAGCCTGCTCTTGTGTGTTGGACCAACTGCATGGTTGACACATTCCTTGCAAGGGATTTATTGCTTATTTTATCAATTAACATCTTTCTCTTGTAAAATATTTAATATGAAACAGATTTGTTAGACGCTGTCAGCCTGTGGTGTCTTTTATTTCGAATACAAAGAGATTTATTGATTCTAAGTAGAAAAGGCGAACGTTTATTTAACTACACGACTATCTTCTGGTTGCCCATGAGGACCCTTACATGTACATGTAATTGGTGAATAAACAAATGAATTATAAAATTGCTTTACCTCCACAAAAAGTATCAGTCCACAATGATAAATTGTATTTTGATTTTGCATACTCTTTTTAAACACATCATGATATGTGTTTAAATATTAACAATGATTATTTTTATAGGAATAAAGGAGTACAAGTAACTGACGGACAATCCCCAAAGTCTTCATTGATAATAGTGTGATCTTACGCAAAATTACACTGGGCATCTTTTTAAAGAACAAGAAATAAAGTTGGAATAAGATCTGCACTCTTAGGCAAAAAAAAAAAAAAAAAAGAGAAGACTTTAGCTTTTGTGATAATTTCAAGTTTATAAAAACTAAAAAGTTTCATACATCACACTTTGTTACATGTATATTTTCTTATGGACTCTATCCGTTATTTTCAATGAGCTTCCTTAAATGCATATAATTTTAAATTATTTTAGGCATCATATTGCGATGTATGTCCAATCTAAAAAATATCTTACTACATATAGTATTTATCGTAAACTTATCAGATACAATAACGTCGTAATTAATACATGTATGGTACTGTCAAACAGTAATGCTCCGTATGGCATTAAGGTATCCGATCCACAAGGACATAATTTTTTAACCTTAAATATCCATCCTGTATTAAATACTCTGAAACTAATTCAAAGCAGTTTAAAATAGAAAAGGATTTACCAGGAGAATTTTTCAAAAATATAATTACCCAAGCAGTAATTGATTAAATAAATAAAAGGCACAGTGTATATATGTATAAATGTTCCGACTTTGGTAAAAAAAAAAAAGTACAGTATGGGAAAAAGTCAATGGGATAGGGAAAACCAAAGAAAAAGTAAGGAATAATTGAGAGAGGAGAAAACGAGGAAGTGATAGAATCATTTCATTTTCCATAATATAAATAAATGAAATAATTTATTTATCATTTTGTGTGTTAATTTCATATTTCACACATCGATGTAAACATAGCCCCCCCCCCCCCCCCGGCAAAAAAATTGAAATAAATGTCCAGCTATATTTACATGTATATATGCGCGTGCTACCGATCGAGTGTACGATGTAATCATAGACAGTGCTTATAATCTGATCGTGCTCAAAAAAATTTTAATTGGAAAATTATAGTAAAGAATCATTTATTTTTTTCCACTAGTTACATTTTTAAAAAGGTTTTCAACCCTTGTTTGTGTTTTTTTCAACGGATTCCCTATACTAGCTAGCTTGTAAATTCTTATTTTCAAAATTTTTGACAAAAGTTAAAAGTTACTAATCTTAGTTTTGTACTCATATTAAGATTTTTTTAAATTAATGACGTCAATTTGATAGAGATAATGCTATGGTACGCCGCCTTTTAACAAGCTTATTGTACTTGATCGATCTCTGCGGAAATAAAAGCTCACTGACCCTTTGTATTTTGTTATAATTGTATTTTTTTTTTAAATTTTACATCTTAAATTATGGAAATTAAGCTTGCGTGTATGTATCGGAAAGACGAAATGTCTAATCTTGAAATTTAAATTTAACGAAAACCATCATGGTTTGGAATCTAGTAATCAGTAATAAGATTTTGAATTTGTTGTGCATTTGTAGAATTGAAGAATTTATTGTGACTCAACTAATCTCAAGTCTTATTCAGAAGTAATTTAGGTCTACAATTTAATTTCTGCTGATGCCTTTGATTGAAATATCCAGGTGTCCAATTCTTAATTGATCACTATCAATCAACGCCATACATCACTATATAACTTGCACACAGGCATAGAAATAAATATACAAGTACATATATATGTACTATTCTTCTGAGAATTTATCTTCTTCATTAAAGCTAAAGAAAACGGTTTTGTGATATTTTTGGTATATTCCTAACAGGGGGCCCATGGGCCTTATAGGTCACCTGGGTATATTAAAACTTTCCAACAATTGAATATGGTTCGTGTTTTTCACAATTTTGAAAGAGGCACCTGTGCTCGTCATAACTATACACTTAGCATGCTTTAAGTTTGATAACTTTTACCCATACGTGGAGAAGGGGAACAAAGAAAAAAATGCATTTTCACTGATCAGTATTAGACGGTAATTATCAACAATAGTCAGTAGTGCCCCCATCCCACGGAAACCTCTGACCCTAGGGTCATACATTCCACAATTTTTGAAAAGGTAACCTTGCTTCATCATAAATGTTTGATTAATACCAAGGAGCAAAGAACTATATGCGGTATATTGCATATATTTGCCCCTACAAAAGTCAAATTTTGAAAACTTCCTGAAGTGTGCTGAATTCAATAAATTGTATCAGAAATATAAATTAACAGAAAATAATGTCAAAGCAGCGTATTCACAATTTTTGTTTTAATGACGTCACAAATTAGTCCGATTTTTATCCTTTTTCAGAAAGAGGACAAAATGGACAAAATTTCAACAATTTTAGCTTTAAAATTTATAGAGCGCAAGTTTGTTCTGATATTGACATATTTCATTGATATTATCATTCTACACATTATATCAAAATTTGATCCTGAACACACATGCGCTCGGTGACTTTTACTCAAAATATCCTTGCTTACATGTAAAATAAAAAACTGAAATTTGATTACGTCATTACCATAGTCATTACTTATGAAAATATTCAGTGCAAAGCATTACTCCCCTGTTTAAGAACTTAATTTAGTATATCTCCATCAAAGTTTGATTTGGGGGGCAAATATTGGTTATTACCGAATAAAGTTCTTTAAAGCATTAATTCACTTCCAGTATATAATCATTAGAGCCCCCCCCCCCATGTACCCTTGACCCAGAGGCCTTGAAATGTCTGGAAGAATGATCCTTGTTCATCATAACCATATACTTAGATCATCAGCATAATAACCAGAAGCAGAGGGAAAATTTTCAAAGAAATTCATGCATTTTCACTATATAAATCATTAGAACCCCGCCCTAACAGCAGAACTCCTGATCCACGCAAGGGCCATAAAATTCATGATTTTGGAAGAGGCAACCTTCCTCATTATAACTATGTACATTGTTCTTTGGTTTAATATCCAGGAGCAGAGGAGGTTTTCAAAGAATTCATGCATTTACACTTTATATAATCATTTGATCCCTGCCCGCTATAATACCAAAATCCCTGACCCAGGGGCCATGATTTTTACAATATTGGTAGAGGGCTCAATGCTGATTACAATCATGCCAATAGTTTGGCTGTTTGTTTTCCAGGAATAAAGAAGAAGATTATTAAAGATTGCTTTTATTTTTATAGTTTTAGCCCAGCCCCTCAGGCTAGGGGCAAGAGGCAATGAAATTCACAATTATTTCTATTCCCATTAACCCAAAGTACCATATGCTAAAATTGGTTCAGTGGTTTCAGAGAAGAAACTGCAAATTTTCAAATGTCAGCACACGATGACGCACGACGGGCGGCACACGAAAGGTCACCTGAATCAGGGGGGAAATCAAATAAATAAATAGCAGTTGTTACATTTATTTAAAAAAAATCATTCATGTAAAAGACTGCAGCTGTGTTAAATTTTTTTATGAAGTGGGAAAAATATATTTTAAAAAAATGACAGATCACGGGATAGTAATGAATCGACTGTAGACAGATTTTTTAAAAGAAAAATTGCATGCTGATTATGTTGATCTTGCATTTACAAAAATGAAGTCTTGAGGTGTAAAATGTGATGCAGCTGCACTACATGTTTCATCAAGCATGATGTAGACAAAGCTTCGTCAATCACTCTAAAGAACATTGTTGTATGACGCATCTTTCTGTGAAATCACTACACCATTACACATGGACCAGATTTAAAGTTAGTAGGTTTCATACTTTCGTGTTTCAATAATTTTTGAAGGCTTTTTGTTCATTATAAAATTTAAGTTTAACTGCTTCTAAGAGTAAAGGAATGTGTGAAATAAAGAAATGACTAGCTGCTAAGCCCAACATTGCATATGCTTCTCTTCAATCACAGGTAAACATATATATGGTATATCTATGAAAAAGACCAAGAGGTGGGTATATACCGCGAGGGAAGGGGTAAGAGGGTTAGTCCTTTCCTTGGCACTATACAATTTTAATTTTTGTGTTCTCTGATATTGATTGGACTCGGGGTTTTTATAATTAAAAGAGATAATTTTTAACTTTTATTTTGAGCAAAATAAAAAAACGCTCACTTTACACTTTATTTGAATGTTTTCCTATGTTACACTATATATATATTTTTTGAAATGGGAAAAAATAGGGTCTTAACAATGACAAGGGATTATAATAATTTTTACTGCCAATTTCAACAGTATCTCAACAAATTCAAAAGTTACAATTTTCAGGGAAAGAAACACCTTTTATATGTACTTTTTAAAGTAACAGAGAGCTTTAAACACAATTAACAATCCTAAATATAAATGTATGAGAAAAAATGAAACTGAAGTGTTCAAAATGAAAAAAAAAATCTGAAAGAGACACTTTTTCTTGGAATCATCTAAATTATTCAAGTACAAAATCCAAACAATGAGTATGCTTTAATATGCTGAAGTAACCATAGGAAAACGAGAGTAACTCATATTCTTACAAATGACAGAATAACTTCAATTAGTCTCTATTGAAGAAAACATTAAAGTTCTTTATTACATGTAGTTAAAGATATTACAATATGAAATTTTATTTGTTAACAGCTATACTGCTCTGTCAGTAAAAATAATAAAATGATAATTAAAGAAGTGAAAAACGTAGGATTTCTCATTTAACTTAGACCTGTTGGTATATTTACAAAAATTGTAGTTGATGTAGACATAAATGGATGTAAATACATTTGAACTTGTTATTGACAAAGCCATTTGTAGACATAATGAATGATTAATGTACTGGTAAATGGAATGTCCAAATTTAAATTAAAGCTCACTTCCAACTAGAACTGTCCAATAGGGACAAATACCCCCCGCTGGGTTTTTCAGAGAAGGTGCCAATTCAAAAATACTTTATGGATCTAGAGATGTTCACAATTTACTTAAAAAAATTTGCAGTGAAATAAAATTGCTCATCATGTTTCTTTATGAATGAAACGGAGGTGCAACCAAATGAAACATCAATACTAATACATTGTAATTCCATTGTAACATTTTTTTTTATTTTTATCATTTAATTTTTCTTCATTACTGCATTAAAAAAATATATTGCAATTATGTGTTATGTCACTCTGCAAACTGATTGTTGAAAAAAGAAACCATTATACAAAATCAAATTAATCTTGATATATCAATTTGAAATGCATTTTGAAAATAAAGAACTGGTCATCCAGTAATGAAGTGTTTTGACAGACAATAAATTACAATTAAGAGAATAAGAGAAGAGAGATCTTTAATTCTTGTGCCTTATTCCCTGAAGATTTGATAACACACACACACTTGATAAGAGATATGCCTAAACAACTTCCAACACCAAACTCATTAATTTATCTTTAACTGGATGCATGTCCAGTCATTATTCCCAAGAGACAAATGAAATTACATTATCTTCTGTGCAATGTAAAAACTGTTTTTAACACTTGATGTTTCTTTTTTTTTAAGTTTTTATGAGTAGTTTTAAGCTGTAGTTCATGTTTTTGTACAGATATTCTAGATTCTATGTCTCAAACCTTATACATGAGCCCAAAATGAACAAGTCAATTAAAATTTTAAAAAACCGGTAAAATGCAGAAAAATGAACAAAAAGAGTTGAAAATTCCAGGTGCACAACTTCATATGGTGAATAATAATTGTACAAATTTTCAGATTAATCCTTGCGATAGTTTCTGAGAAACGGTCCAAACAAAACCCCAAAATAAAAATGAAAAAACACCTGTAAAATTCAAAATAATAATCCAATCAAGATGAAAAATATCAGGTGCACAACTTCATATGGTGAATAATATGTGTACAAATTTTCAGACAAATCCTTCCAATAGTTTCTGAGTAATGGTCCGGACAAAGTCTCGTCTACAGACAGACGGACAGACGGACAGACGGACATGGTGATTCCAATATACCCCCCCTAAACTTCGTTTGCGGGGGGTATAATAAATGTACACAAATGCATTAAAATGAAATCATAAATGTCACAAGATAAAGTTTTAGAGGAAAATTAAGATACATGTATACACATTACTCACACAGACTGTACATCTTTATTTGATACCCGGTAAATAAGTAACTCACAAATCAATTAATGTTTATACAGGTAACATAAAAGAAGGGGAGATGAATAACTATAGGAACAGAAACAAAGCTAAATGTAGATTGCACATGTTAAAAAACCTTAAAACAGTTTTGCTTGTTTCAGCAATATTTTTAAGAGCATTCATGGAAACTTTTTCCTCTGAATGCTGCCATTTCTACATGCATTAACATGGTTTCACCCCAGATGTTTCTTTCAAAAGAATGAATAATGTAGGGAGTGTTTGAAGCTAAATACAGGTTTCAGTCAAATTCTGGAATGTCATCATATGAGTATCCACTGTATCCTTTGTATGCATAGTAAGCTATCCTTACATGGTAGGCCCCAGGTATAAACATAAGGGCTCCTATAATTATTACCGGCCATGTCCTGTCTGCATACTAAAAAAAAAAAGAACATTAGCTATACATGTATAAATTCGGAATTTTTATATACATGTATTTATTCAATTTTAAATATGGCTTGAATAGGCTCGTAAATATGTTCATGTAAAGAAAATGACAATCTTTATAACATGAGATAAATTATGTATTTTTACATTTTGGCCCATGGACCACAATACTCACCTGAGTAACTCTTGCTCTGTTGTTTTTCAGATTCATCACCTTGTTATAATTTTCATTACCCCATCCTATCCCAGGGGGTCAAGATTTGAACTAACTCAGGAAGCTTCCACATAAGTGTCAGCTTTTCTAGTCCCGTGGTTCTTTAGAAGAAGGATTTTAATGAGTTTCCCCCTATATTTCAATGTAAAACTTAATGATTTTTCCTATATTTCAATGTAAAACTTTGACTCCCTATAGTGGTCCCACCCCTCTAGGGGTCATTATTTGATTAATTTAGAATCTACACTACCCCAAAATGTTTCCACATAGGTTTCAGCTTTTCTGGCCCAATGATTCTTGAGAAAATTTAAGATGTTGAATGACTCTATCGTGCTTTGTCTTTTCTAGATTATCTCCCCTTATAATGAGAATAGGTCCTTAATTTTATTAATTTTAATCTCCCCATCACTGTACCAACTTTGGAAAAAAATTGCCCAGGTGTTCTTGAGAAGTTGAAAATGTCACATGAAAAGTTTACAGATGGATGGATGACGGACAATGGATGATCTGAAAAGCCCACTTCTCAGAGCTTTGATTCATCTCAGGTGGGCTAAAAAGAAATGAAGATGGAATTTGATAATCCTCCTCATTGAACAAATACATGTGTAAGTCTTACCTCTGCACTGATATAGCCCGTCAACAGCAAAGAGCCAATGATCAATAGGATGGTCCCTATAGAAAACAGCACTGTAGCTAATAGTATAGCTTTGTAAGGGACTTTTGGAGGTGGTCTTTCAAACTGAAAAAAAAATTACAGTTCTTCTAACACAAAAATACCATTTACAATACCAGATAATTTATATTAATACAAGACAAGATTTTTTTTCTCTACTTTCATTTATAAAGCTTGGAAGTTTATTTTGTAATGGAATGAACACATGGAGAAAATTAATGGGATATAAATTCATTTATCAAGTCTAACCATAAAAAAAAATCAGAAAAATTCCACTCCACAAACAAAAACAGACATTTACATAAAAGAATGTCATTTGAACAGAGCTGGGGACAACAATATCACACAACACAGAGCTTCTTAAATTAAGGTTGACTTCAAAATATTTGAAAAAGACATTCATTTTAACCAACCTCCACCGAATCACAGATGATATCATTTGGAATAAGATGATACATTTTAAAATGAGGTTCCCTCCCTTGTCCACTTGCTCTACCTTTTCTGTTCATTAATATAAAAGAGTGCAAGCAAGGGAAGTAAATCTAATTGGTCTCAATGTTGTTGATTTACTAATTTATCTATACTAATAAGTCTTAGTCTATTCCTTGGTATATACCTATCTGTTACATGTAACTGCGACTAAATGACACATCGAACATTGATGTGCATACACTCATAACACTGTAGTTTGGTTCCATGTATCATATGTCATGTTGTTTACACGTGAAGTACATTAAAAGCAATCTTTAACCACATTGCTCTACGAAATTTAGAAATTTATCTCTGTTCAGTTCCGATGACATACGTTGTATATACAGACAGCCCATCATTCCAAAAATTTCAGGTGAAACTAATGTTTTATCAAGTGTGCAGTGCTGTACGCTTGATAAAAGTTTTTATGGATGGAAGTACAACTGTATAGTTAAAAATGTTCGACTTACCTGTAAACCAATATAACCATCATCGTGAGACTTTGTCAGCTTGTGATATTTAGCAGAGCCTCCATCAACAACAGATCTTTTCGGCATCATCCAAATATTAAAAATATTTCACGTTCATGTCAACAAATGTGCGGATTCCAGAGCCCGACTCAATAACAGGTGTGTCTGTGTGCTTTTTATCAAATTATTTCAGGGTATTACATTCTATAAGTCAGGTACAAATACCTAATCTTTATAAAATTTTCTTTATCATTTACAACCATTTATTTGTTATGAATAACTCTTTTTTAATTGATTAAGGAGGAGCACACAAAGTCGGGCTCAACATCACGCCAGAAAGTGAAAGTAGAGATAGGGGCTGCTCGTCTTGCTGTTTTGGACCGTGGACGCTTGTTGAGATGGCCACACCAGGATTTTATGGCGGAGTTGAAGGGTAAATATGTCCATTATATAACCAATTCTACGATGGCCGATATCAGCCTGTACAAATTCCGACTGCTTTTAAAATTTGTACATCTAAAATGTACATTGACATGTACATTTTGCAATGACAGAGCACACTTCGTGTTCTTAACTTTTTTCTGTACATGTACATTTTGCAATGACAGTGCACACTTTGTGCTCTTAACTTTTGTCTGTGCATGTACAAAATGGCAAAAAGACAAATGTCAAAACGTGAGCTGTTGAAACGCATATGCTCTTAATTACAATTCCTGGTCGGCGAAAAACCATTAAATATGAATAAAAGTATACAACGGGGAAAAGTTGAACAATATCAAAACAAGATTTGTTTTGTAAAACACTATGCCAGCAATGATAACATAAATATAATACATTTGCAGTAAGTCACAAGTCAAATCAATTACCGGTAATGTTTTATACATTCGGGGGTGGGACATAGACGTGGTATACACCTGTAAGATGCAAAGGTGAAAACACTTAGGACCTTTTGTTTTAAAAAAAAAGTATTGTGTTATGGTCAATTACTAAATACTTTATGAAACGCAATGTTACAGTTTTTAAAATAATGGTCAAAGGTTACAGTTGAGGTCACAATTTAATCTTACGTTATGTTATGGTTAGACTCATACTCGATCATAAAATGTCCTTTACAACTTCCCTTTACTTTTGATCAAAAAGTAGTGTAAACTATATAGTCATCATTTTCTGGGTTGGATGGGGGCAATTCATTGTACAAGAAATGTTTGTGGAAGGTGATTTTAATCTATGGGAATTTAATTCTTTTCAGTAAAAGAAGACAAATTTTATCATTAGTTTTAATGTTCATCCTTTTTATCGCAAAATTAATCTTCTCAGTGCCTTGTCCAATTTAATTCATATTTAATCGTTTTTCGCCGACCAGGAATTGTAATCAGAAGCAAATGTGTTTCAACCGTTCACGTTTTGACATTTGCCTTTTTGTCATTTTGTACATGTACAGACAAAAGTTAAGAGCATAAAGTGTGCACTGTCATTGCACAGTGTACATGTACAGAAAAAAGTTAAGAAAACGAAGTGTGCTCTGTCATTGCAAAATGTACATGTCAATGTACATTTTAGATGTACAAATTTCAATAGCAGTCGAAATATGTACAGGCTGATATCGGCCATCGTACAATTCTATTTAAGGATAAAAAGTAAAGTTTATTTATTTTTTTTTTTTTTGAAAACTGATCAGCTGATACCCCTACATCTGTACAGTGTAGCTATCTGCCTATCTAAGACACACGAGTGATGATTGGCATGTACAATTTGAAAACATTTACATAAATACCTATAGATAGTGTTTTATTTTGAACATACTTATTAAGATGATGAATGCGTTATGTCTTTACTCAAGAAAATCGTGTCGTCAATCAAAGTGGTAATTTCTGTGGAAAGTGGACACAGATTTTCCTATTGACTAAAATGCTTCTTGTAAATTTCAGGGGAGCAACCCATTCCAGAATGGTGTTGATGAATGAGAATGGGAACATCTTAGCATGGACAGACGGACCATCAACAAATCAATGGGTTAGTAAAATAAGTACAGTTTTTAGCTCACCTGAGCCGAAGGCTCAAGTGAGCTTTTCTGATCAAAATTTGTCCGTCGTCTGTCGTTGTCGTTGTTTTCGTTGTCGTTGTCGTCGTAAACTTTTCACATTTTCATCTTCTTCTCAAGAACCACTGGGCCAATTTCAACCAAACTTGGCACTAAGTATCCTTGGGTGAAGGGGATTCAAGATTGTTCAAATGAAGGGCCACGCCCTCTTCCAAGGGGAGATAATTATGAATTAGTGAAAAATAAATAGCATTTTAAAAAAATCTTCTTCTCAAGAATCACTGGGCCAGGAAAGATGAAACTCATGTGGAATCATCCTCAGGTAGTGTGGATTCAAGTTTGTTCAAATCATGACCCCCGGCGTTAGGGTGGGGCCAAAATGGCCGACCAAAGTTTTACATAGGAATATATAGGAAAAATCTTTAAAAATCTTCTTCTTAAGATGAAACTCATGTGGAATCATCCTCAGGTAGTGTAGATTCAAGTTTGTTCAAATTATGACCCCCGGGGCTAGGGTAAGGCCAAAATGGCCGACCAAAGTTTTACATAAGAATATATAGGAAAAATCTTTAAAATTCTTCTTCTTAAGAACCACTGGGGCAGGAAAGATGAAACTCATGTGGAATCATCCTCAGGTAGTGTAGATTCAAGTTTGTTCAAATCATGACCCCCGGGGCTAGGGTGGGGCCAAAATGGCCGACCAAAGTTTTACATAGGAATATATAGGTAAAAATCTTTTAAAAATCTTCTTCTCAAGAACCACTGGAATTGGAAAAATGAAACTCATGTGGAATCATCCTCAGGTAGTGTAGATTCAAGTTTGTTCAAATCATGACCCCCGGGGCTAGGATGGGGCCAAAATGGCAGACCAAAGTTACATAGAAATGCATAGAACAAATCTTTAGCTCACCTGAGCCGAAGGCTCAAGTGAGCTTTTCTGATCACATTTTGTCTGGCGTCCGTCTGTCTGTCTGTCCGTCTGTCTGTAAACTTTTCACATTTTCGACTTCTTCTCAAGAACCGCTGGGCCAATTTCAACCAAACTTGCCACAAAGTATCCTTGGGTGAAGGGGATTCAAGTTTGTTCAAATGAAGGGCCACGCCCTTATTCAAGGGGAGATAATCGGGAATTAATGAAAATTTAGTGGTATATTTTAAAAATCTTCTTCTCAAGAACCACTGTGCCAGGAAAGATGAAACTTATGGGGAAACATCCTCAGGTAGTGTAGATTCAAGTTTGTTCAAATCATGACCCCTGGGGGTAGGGCGGGGCCAAAATGGCCGACCAAAGTTTTACATAGAAATATATAGGAAAATTCTTTAAAAATCTTCTTCTCAAGAATGACAAAGCCATAATTCATCATATTTATATGGGAGCATGCTCATGTAGTGTAGATTCAAGTTTGTTCAAATCATGACCCCCCGGGTAAGGGCGGGGCCAAAATGGCCGACCAAAGTTTTACATAGAAATATATAGGAAAATTCTTTAAAAATCTTCTTCTGAAGAATGACAAAGCCATAATTCATCATATTTATATGGAAGCATGCTCAGGTAGTGTAGATTCAAGTTTGTTCAAAATCATGACCCCCGGGGGTAGGGCGGGGCCAAAATGGCCGACCAAAGTTTTACATATAAATATATAGGAAAATTCTTTAAAAGTCTTCTTCTCAAGAATGACAAAGCCATAATTCATCATATTTATATGGAAGCATGCTCAGGTAGTGTAGATTCAAGTTTGTTCAAATCATGACCCCCGGGGGTAGGGCGGGGCCAAAATGGCCGAACAATGTTTTACATAGAAATATATAGGAAAAATCTTCTTCTCAAGAATGACAAAGCCATTATTCATCATATATATATGGAAACATGCTCAGGTAGTGTAGATTCAAGTTTGTTCAAATCATGACCCCCGGGGGTAGGGCGGGGCCAAAATGGCCGACCAAAGTTTTACATATAAGGCCAAAAAAAATAATAGTCTTGTTTCCTGCTACCAGCCTGAAAAAAATAGGGTAGGTAGGTAGGAAAATTATTTTATTTTTTTATTTTATTTTATTTTTTCTCAATGGTATTTGTTCATGTTGTTGGATATGAACTATTACAAAAAGCAAGTTAAACATGTCAAGGTCAATATTATTGTTTAAATTAAGTAGTGTTTTATGAAAGACCATATTTAAAACTTATATGTTATGCAATACCACTTGAATATAATTTTTTTTTTCACTTTTGAATCATGAAATTTACGATTTTCCCCCAAAAGCTAAATAAAAACTTTAGGGTCGGGTGCAAAAAAATAGGGTAGGTCGGGTAGCAGGAAACAAGACTATTTTTATTTTTGGCCTAAATATATAGGAAAATTCTTTAAAAATCTTCTTCTCAAGAATGACACAGCCATAATTCATCATATTTATATGGAAGCATGCTCAGGTACAGTGTAGATTCAAGTTTGGTCAAATCATGACCCCCGGGGGTAGTGCAGGGCCAAAATGGCTGACCAAGGTTTTACATAGAGATATATAGGAAAATTCTTTAAAAATCTTCTCAAGAATGACAAAGCCATTATTCATCATATTTATTTGGAAGCATGTTCAGGTAGTGTAGATTCAATTTTGTTCAAATCATGACCCCCGGGGGTAGGGCGGGGCCAAAATAGCCGACAAAACATAGAAATATATAGGAAAATTCTTTAAAAATCTTCTTCTCAATCATTTTCTAAAAAATAGCAAATCCATGATTGGTCATGGGACTACTTTTGGATTTAAACTTTACAATAAAAAGCCATTTTATACTAGTCCTACCCTTGGTGCTCAGGTGAGCGATGTGGCCCATGGGCCTCTTGTTTAAAATCTTCTTCTTCTTCTTCTTAAGAACCACTGGGCCAGGAAAGATGAAACTCATGTGGAATCATCCTCAGGTAGTGTGGATTCAAGTTTCTTCAAATCATGACCCCCGGGGCTAGGGTGGGGCCAAAATGGCCGACCAAAGTTTTACATAGGAATATAAAGGAAAAATCTTTAAAAATCTTCTTCTTAAGAACCACTGGTGCAGGAAAGATGAAACTCATGTGGAATCATCCTCAGGTAGTGTAGATTCAAGTTTGTTCAAATCATGACCATCGGGGCTAGGGTGGGGCCAAAATGGCCGACCAAAGTTACATAGAAATGCATAGAACAAATCTTTTAAAATCTTCTTCTTCTTAAGAACCACTGGGCCAGGAAAGATGAAACTCATGTGGAATCATCCTTGGGTAGTGTGGATTCAAGTTTGTTCAAATCATGACCCCTGGGGCTAGGGTGGGGCCAAAATGGCCAACCAAAGTTTTACATGGGAATATATAGGAAAAATCTTTTTAAAATCTTCTTCTCTAGAACCACTGGAATTGGAAAAATGAAACTCATGTGGAATCATCCTCAGGTAGTGTAGATTCAAGTTTGTTCAAATCATGACCCCTGGGGCTAGGGTGGGGCCAAAATGGCTGACCAAAGTTACATAGAAATGCATAGAAAAAATCTTTAAAAATCTTCTTCTTCTTCTTAAGAACCACTGGGCCAGGAAAGATGAAACTCATGTGGAATCATCCTCAGGTAGTGTGGATTCAAGTTTGTTCAAATCATGACCCCCGGGGCAAGGGTGGGGCCAAAATGGCCGACCCAAGTTTTACATAGGAATATATAGGAAAAATCTTTAAAAATCTTCTTCTTAAGAACCACTGGGGCAGGAAAGATGAAACTCATGTGGAATCATTCTCAGGTAGTGTAGATTCAAGTTTGTTCAAATCATGACCCCTGGAGCTAGGGTGGGGCCAAAATGGCCGACCAAAGTTTTACATAGGAATATATAGGTAAAAATCTTTTAAAAATCTTCCTCTCAAGAACCACTGGAATTGGAAAAATGAAACTCATGTGGAATCATCCTCAGGTAGTGTAGATTCAAGTTTGTTCAAATCATGACCTCCGGGGCTAGGGTGGGGCCAAAATGGCCGACAAAAGTTACATAGAAATGCATAGAACAAATCTTTTAAAATCTTCTTCTTCTTCTTAAGAACCACTGGGCCAGGAAAGATGAAACTCATGTGGAATCATCCTCAGGCATTGTGGTTTCAAGTTTGTTCAAATCATGACCCCCGGGGCTAGGGTGGGGCCAAAATGGCCGACCAAAGTTTTACATAGGAATATATAGGAAAAATCTTTAAAAATCTTCTTCATAAGAACCACTGGGGCAGGAAAGATGAAACTCATGTGGAATCATCCTCAGGTAGTGTAGATTCAAGTTTGTTCAAATAATGACCCCCGGAGCTAGGGTGGGGCCAAAATGGCCGACCAAAGTTTTATATAGGAATATTTAGGTAAAAATCTTTTAAAAATCTTCCTCTCAAGAACCACTGGAATTGGAAAAATGAAACTCATGTGGAATCATCCTCAGGTAGTGTAGATTCAAGTTTGTTCAAATCATGACCCCCGGGGCTAGGGTGGGGCCAAAATGGCCGACCAAAGTTACATAGAAATGCATAGAACAAATCTTTTAAAATCTTCTTCTTCTTCTTAAGAACCACTGGGCCAGGAAAGATGAAACTCATGTGGAATCATCCTCAGGCATTGTGGATTCAAGTTTGTTCAAATCATGACCCCCGGGGCTAGGGTGGGGCCAAAATGGCCAACCAAAGTTTTACATGGGAATATATAGGAAAAATCTTTTAAAAATCTTCTTCTTAAGAATCATTGAGAAAGGAAGTATGAAACTTGAATGAAATTATCCTCAGGTAGTGTAGATTCAAGTTTGTTCAAATCATGACCCCTGGGGCTATGGTGGGGCCAAAATGGCCGACCAAAGTTTTACATAGGAATATATAGAAAAAAATCTTTAAAAATCTTCATCTCAAGAACCACTATGCCAGGAAAGATGAAACTCATGTGGAATCCTCCTCAGGTATTGTAGATTCAAGTTTGTTTAAATCATGACACCCGGGGCTAGGATGGAGCCAAAATGGCTGACCAAAGTTTTACATAGGAATATATAGGAAAAACTTTAAAAATCTTCTTCTCAAGAACCTTTGGGCCAGGAAAGACGAAACTTATGTGGAATCATCCTCAGTTAGTGAAGATTCAAGCTTGTTCAAATCATGACCTCTGGGGCTAGTTTTGGGCCCAAAATGGCTGACCAAAGTTGTACATAAGGATATATAGGGAAACCTTTTAAAATCTTCTTTTCAAGTACTTCAAAGCCATGATTAGTGATATTTTTCTATTTATATGGAATCATCCTCAGGTAGTGTAGATTGTACATTGTTCAAATCATGACACCCAGGAGGGTTAAAATTCAAGCCCCCCCCCCCAGTAAACTTTCAGTTTTGATCTAATATGTGCTTTTTCCTAGTAGATGTGCTCAGGTGAGCGATGTGGCCCTTGGGCCTCTTGTTAGGTTAACAATAATGGGAAAGTTGTTGATCATTTCTTGTACAGCCATTAGCACAATTAGACAGTCCCTGAAATGTTCTACCACCCCACTATAGTTCTAGGAAAATTGTCAATGGTGAGCAAGATATGAGAGCTAAGGTTGAGGTGAAGGTTTAGTAGAAGATAAATGATTACAGAGTAAGAGCATGGTCAAGGGATAACATCAGCAGAGTAAGTGGAGAGCTGACAACAAAACTCAACAGGAATTTAGAGCACATGTTCACTAGTGTGACTTCTCACTGTTATATCCTCTCTGTTCCTTGTTGATTTGCTAATCATTCTTTTTTTAGCTCACCTGAGCTGAAAGCTCAAGTGAGCTTTTCTGATCACATTTTGTCCGGCGTCCGTCTGTCTGTCTGTCTGTCTAGCTGTCCGTCTGTCCGTCTGTCTGTAAACTTTTCACATTTTCGACTTCTTCTCAAGAACCGCTGGGCCAATTTCAACCAAACTTGCCACAAAGTATCCTTGGGTGAAGGGGATTCAGGTTTGTTCAAATGAAGGGCCACGCCCTCATTCAAGGGGAGATAATTGGGAATTAATGAAAATTTGGTGGCATATTTTAAAAATCTTCTTCTCAAGAACCACTGTGCCAGGAAAGATGAAACTTATGGGAAAACATCCTCAGGTAGTGTAGATTCAAGTTTGTTCAAATCATGACCCCCGGGGGTAGGGCGGGGCCAAAATGGCCGACCAAAGTTTTACATAGAAATATATAGGAAAATTCTTTAAAAATCTTCTTATGAAAAATGACAAAGCCATAATTCATCATATTTATATGGAAGCATGCTCAGGTAGTGTAGATTCAAGTTTGTTCAAATCATGACCCCAGGGGGTAGGGCGGGGCCAAAATGGCGGACTAAAGTTTTACATAGAAATATATAGGAAAATTCTTTTAAAATCTTCTTCTCAAGAATGACAAAGCCATAATTCATCATATTTATATGGAATCATTCTCAGGTAGCGAAGATTCAAATTTGTACAAATCGTGACCCCCGGGGGTAGGGCGGGGCCAAAATGGCCAACCAAAGTTTTACATAGAAATATATAGGAAAATTCTTTAAAAATCTTCTTCTGAAGAATGACAAAGCCATAATTGATCATATTTATATGGAAGCATGCCCAGGTAGTGTAGATTCAAGTTTGTTCAAATCATGACCCCTGGGGGTAGGGCGGGGCCAAAATGGCCGACCAAAGTTTTTAAAGATATATATAGGAAAATTCTTTAAAAATGATTTTCTAAAAAATAGCAAATCCATGATTGGTCATGGGACTACTTGATTTAAACTTTACAATAAAAAACCATCTTCCACTTTTCGTACTTTTAGTGCTCAGGTGAGCGATGTGGCCCATGGGCCTCTTGTTTGTAAGTATAAGTTTAATGCTTTTGACATTTCATTCTCCATATCTCAAAGAATTTGTGCTTTGCATAAGCAAAGAGTACAAGTATTGATAAAACAATATATTACATGTATTAAAGGTGTTTCTGAAGTTTCCATGTTTTTTCAAATTTTTGAAATATATTGAGGATTTATTTTACCCTAAAGGAACAATGTGCAACTTCTGAAATAACAGGTAAAGGGATATTGCATTTTCATTAGTTAATGTAAAGATCCCTTAAACATGACCTACAGATTTTTTTCAGTTGATAGGACAAGAGGAATGTCTGAAGAGAGTGAACAATATGGTGGAGGAGGCCAAATCTAAGGCAGGACTGGACCCCAGCACCAAGTTAGTGTCTCTGGTGAGTGAAGGAATTTTATTTTCTTGAAAGTTATCTTGATTATTTTGTAGATTATTACGTCAAGCTTTAATATTATAATCCCTCCATTTTAAGGTCAGCTGGCTCATGTGAGCTTTTTTAATTGAAAGGTGTCTGCAGGCATCCAATTGTCATCTGTCGTGTGTTCTGTTTCATGTAATTTTTCCAAATTTTTCAACTTCTTCTCAAAAAAAACCCAAAAAAAACAAACCAAACTACTGGATCAATTCAAACCAAACTTGCCACACATCAGAAACAAACCTTGTTCAAGTGAAGGAACATCTCCTCTTCAAAGTAGAGACATTTAAAAATTACAGAACATTTATTGACATCTTTTAATTATTTTCTTCTCAGGAACCACTGGGCCAGAAAAAAATGAAACTTTTATGAAATCTAATACTAAAAGTAAATTCATCTTTTTTTTAAAATCATGAACCCCAGGGTCCATAAAAATATCATCGTACTCTATTCTGTCATTCAGCAATCATTATGAATTTAAGCTACAATGTGTGATTGATATTTACATAGAATAATGAAAATAAAATTGTTTCATTCTTGTAATATTGATTGAATCATTTTAATGAGTTGTCTGCCTTAATACAGTTCTAAATCTGTTTTGTGTGACAGGGATTATCAATGAGTGGGGCGGACCAGAAGGAAGCCCAGGACCAGCTGATCAGTGGAATGAAGTCCAGGTACCCCCAGTGTAGTCAGAATGTGTTCATCGCTAGCGACACTGCCGGGGCTATCGCCACAGCCACAGAGAAAGGTACTGTAAAAACTGTCTTTCTGAACAGCTTTGCAATCCATATTACTTTTCCCTATTCCTCCCACTGTGCAATCCAACACTGACTAATTCAGCAGTGTTTATTCCAAAAGTGTCTGACAGGTTTCATTGTACAGTATATACTGAACACAGGTTATAATTATAAACATGTATAGAGCTAAATAAGGTGACTAGATAAGACAGGCTGAAAATATTAATTAAGGAATGAAGCTTATTTCAACTTATGTTATACGATATAACATAACTTGGGGCAGTTTATGCTTTATAAACCGCGAAGCGGTTTATAAAAAAGCGTAAACTGCCCCAAGTTTTGTTATATCATATAATATAATTTATAATAAACTTCATTCCTTATAATTTAATTTCAGTGCAGACTATGAGATAATTTCCTTCCTAGAATAAGGCTTAAGGTCAAGATCTAGTAAATGAAAGGTGCCTACAGATTTATCAAACTTGAGAAATAAATTCCTTTATTGATGCTTTACAACTTTAGCTTGGTCAAATAAGGTGTTTCGGGGCATGATTTGTAGGTTAAAAAGATCAAAAACTGTATTTTAAACTGTCATTTTCAATGAAAAATTAAGAAAACCAGTCATGAATATGGGAGTTTTTCTCATATTCGACAAAGGAAATGTATCCAGATTGCCTACAGTCTCTCAGAAAACGGTAATTAGTATGTTCATGGCCTCTTCTTTAAATTAATATTAAATTTAATATAGGTATCCGGTTTACTTTTCATATGATTTCAAACTGAATGTCATGAAAATACTCTATTTTCTACATAATTCTGCTAAAGCCGTAAAGTACGGGAAAAAGAAAGTTGAAGTTGATTATGACGTCATAATAGATTTAGCACCAAAAAATTAGTCTCAAGTTATTTACTAGATCTTGACCTTAATAATGATTTAATTTTAAAAGTAACGTCAAGCGGAGTAATACGTTTTTTGACGTAACTCATTGTGACGTAGGCAAGTTATGTTATCCAAAATGGATAAAATCTTTTATCCAATCAAATGGCGTGTTACAAGTAAAATTAAATTATTGATAGATATATCTGTTTTTGATTCAGGACAATTTTTAATAATTGTGCAGGAAAAAACCTGTTTACTTGTAAAAGAAATTTATTCTGGAAAAAATCAGTATCTGCTCTCAATACTCCTAATCTTGACATACATGTATGGTAAGATACATGTACCAGGTAACAGTTTGGTAGAGTGAAATTTCTTCCATGATTAGATTCTCAAGACATCTCTTTCAGTGGGTGGATAGATTAAAAGCTCATAGTCAATAAAACAGAGAAATTGCAAAAACTATTTACAAACATCTCAATAGACCTTTAAAACTGCAGCAGTTCTTTTCACATTTTAGGTGGCATTGTGTTGATCTCTGGAACTGGTTCTAACTGTATGCTGATCAATCCTGATGGTAAAGACTTCAGATGTGGGGGCTGGGGACATCTTCTGGGAGATGAGGGATCGGGTATGGTTCACTTCTCTAGTATCAATTTCTACAGTCAAACTTGTTAATTTAATGTTTTTTTAATTCCGAAATATTTTAACTCCGGCCCTCTCAGTAAATTTGTTTGTTCTAAATGTTGTTTTATCCAGCTTGTTGTTTAATCTCTGGATTAGATAAATATTTACTGTACCAAAAACAGAAGGAGGAGGGGGTTTGCTACAAAACATTTCTTCCTGTGATTTTTTCCTTTGCATACTTACCTGGTATGTATTATGTTTCATCATTTACAGCATACTGGATCACACAGAGAGCCATTAAGATTGTGTTTGACCACGAGGACAATCTAAAAGTCTCTCCACGTGATATATCATTTGTCAGGGATGCCATGATGAAATATTATCAGGTATGCTGATGTGTTTTATTTGTAGTGTTAAGCAAATGAGTTTCATGGGAGATTCATATCTGATCAGAATATACATGTAAGGGATTATTTTGTCATACAAATGTTTGCATTTTACCACCAGATAAATAACTTGCTTTATTAATCTGAAAAGATGAAAGTGGATTTACTAAGTGACTATATCCAGCAGAATAATTGTTAAAAAATTGCTAACATAAAAAAGTGAAGGTTTACACAAATTATTGGGTTGTTTATTGGCCTTGGCCTCAAGAATCACTGGGCCAGAAAAGCTGAAACTTTTGAAACAAGATGTGTTTGTGAAACACTGATGGTCCCATATGGCAACATAGCAAGGATAGAATTTCTCAAATGTAAATCAAACCTGTTTATACACAAAGTAAGGCCTTCTCACAAGGATTACATATGTGAAGTATGAAAGTCCTAGCACCAACTGTTCAAAAGTTATGGCCAAGGTTTAAGTTTTTTAAAAGTAGGTCGAACTCCAAGGTCAAGGACAAAGGGTCAAAGTTGTTGGTATCCCAAAAAAGGTCTTATCGCAAGGATTACATATATGAAGTATATCAGCCCTAGCCCTTATTGTTTAAAAGTTATGGCCATGGTTAAAGTTTTTTAAAAGTAGATCAATCTCCAAGGTCAAGGTCAAATGGTCTAAATTGTTGGTATCCAATGGAAAGTCTTGTCACAAAGAATACATCTGTGAAGTATGATAGTCCTAGCACCAACTTTTCAAAAGTTATGGCCAAAGTAAAAGTTTGGAAATTTGGTGTAAAAGTTGTCATACTCCAAGGTCAAGGCCAAGAGGTCAAATTTGGTGGTACCCAGAGGAAGGTCTTGTCACAATGAATACACCTGTGAAATATGAAACCTATAGTCCCACCCAGTCAAAAGTTATGGGCAAGACTAAAGTTTTTGTGGACAAACAGACAGCTAGACAGACAGACGCACAGACAGGGCAAAAACTACATACCGTTGTTATGGGTCAGAATAACCCTAAATGCCAGCAAAGATCAATAACAAAATTTAAACTTAACAATAATTTATTTACAGTAATATATAATAAGTATATGAAACATAAAGTACAAACTTAGCAAGAATCTAAAAATACATACATCAGAGTGTCCGTTTCTGCACACAATGTCCCAGTGAAAATATATCCCAGTTATATCTCAATAGTGCTTATACGACAAAAGTCTATCTATGCATCGAATTGACAGGGTATTTATATAGTATTATAAATCTAGAATATTCTAGAAATTGTTAAAACATGATATTACTGGAACAATCTGGACATACTCAAAATTTAACAATGTTCTAGATCAAATGACCGAACATGTTGACCACTCTGGAATGTTCAAGAAACTAAATGTTACTAATAATACAAATACAACACATCACACAACACCTCCCCTCTTAAAAAGTTTGAATGTCAATGAAAAACTTAAATTGTAAAACATGTACATTAATACAAAATCTAGTATGTTTACGATACTCTTGACAAGGCGTCTGCAATAACATTGTCTTTGCCTTTGATATGTTTAATTGTTATGTTGTATTCTTGTAACAACAAACTCCATCTAGTCAGTCTTTGATTCTTGTTTGACAATTTATGCAAAAATGTCAGGGGGTTGTGATCCGTATATACAAGAATTGGATGCAAAGTAACATTCAGATAAACATCAAAATGCTGTAAGGCTAACAACAAAGCAAGGCATTCCTTTTCAATGGTAGAATAATTTCGTTGACATTTTGTAAGTTTCTTTGAAAAATAAGAAACAACTCTATCTACATTATCACTATGTTCTTGAAACAAAGCTGCCCCGATTCCAACATCACTAGCGTCAACAGTAAGCTTAAATTGCTTAGAAAAATCTGGAGTTGACAGAACTGGGTTGCTCATCAGGATAGATTTGATTTTATGAAAGGATTTTTCACAGTCCTTTGTCCATTCAAAGTTAACCCTCTTTTGTAAAAGATTTGTAAGTGGACTAACTACTGAGGAAAAATTTGGACAAAATTTTCTGTAAAACCCAGCCATGCCCAAAAACCTCATTAATTCTTTCTTGTTTGTAGGAATCGGGAACTTTGCAATAGCTTCCACTTTAGCCATAATGGGTGTAACATAACCTTGACCTACTTTATGACCTAAATACTCTACATAAGCATGACAAAATTCACTCTTTTCAAGGTTCACAGTTAAATTTGCTTTAGCTAAAATGTCAAATAAAGCACGCATGATTCGGAGATGTTCGTCCCATGTGTTGCTGTATATGACGACATCATCAATGTAGGCCTCGCATCCCTCAAGGTCTTGAAGAAGGGAGTGAATCATCCTTTGGAATGTAGCCGGTGCGTTTTTCATGCCAAAAGGCATTACTTTATACTGGTAAAGTCCATCTGGTGTAGCAAAAGCAGATATTTCTTTTGCTCTTTCTGTTAACGGTACTTGCCAGTAGCCTTGTAACAGGTCAAATTTACTGACAAATTTCGCATTTCCAATGTTGTCAATACAGTCATCGATTCTAGGTATTGGATATGAATCAGTTTTGGTAACAGAATTCACCTTTCTAAAGTCTGTACATAATCGGTAAGAACCGTCTTGTTTTGGTACAAGAATACACGGTGAGCTCCAATCACTTTTACTAGGTTCAACAATGTCATTGTCCAACATGTACTGCACTTCCCTTCTTAGGTACTGCAATTTTATTGGATTGAGACGGTACGGATGTTGTTTGATAGGCAGAGCGTCGCCAACTATAACATCATGACAAGCTGCATTAGTTTTCTTTGGAACATCCGAAAAGATTTGATGATACTCATTCATCAAGTTTTTAACTTGTTCTTTTTGGTGAATGTTCAAATGTCCAAGTTTGGCATCAAAATCAGCCAAAATTTCGGAGTTTTTCAAACGAACACTCTGATTACAATCTTTCTCATTCATTTCTACACTCGTATCACTTTCAATATAATTTTGAACAGTCTTAGCATTGGCTAAAGTGGAAACTGGTTTTACAGAATTTCGGTCACACCTTTCAAAATACTCTTTTAACATGTTAATGTGACAAACCCGTTTCTCTTTACGTCGACCTGGTGTCTTAACTACATAGTTTACATCACTGATCTTGCTTTCAATTTCATAAGGGCCATAAAATCTGGCCTGTAAAGGATGACCAGGAATAGGTAAAAATACAAGAACCTTATCACCTGGCTTAAACACCCTATTTCTGGCATCTTTGTCATACCACATTTTCATTTTCATCTGAGAATTCTTCAAATTTTCTTGTGCTAATTTACAAGCATTGTAAAGTTTTTCTTTGAAATCAGACACATAATCTAAAAGATTAAGATCACTAGTCTCAGTCAGCCACTTTTCCTTCAACAATTTCAAAGGACCTCTAACTGTATGTCCGAACACCAATTCAAAAGGACTGAACCCAAGAGACTCCTGGACTGCTTCTCGTGCAGCAAATAGCACAAGATGAACCCCTTCGTCCCAGTCTTTTTCATATTGGTAACAATAGGTCTTCAGCATTGTTTTTAGGGTTTGATGAAAACGTTCTAGCGCTCCCTGGGACTCAGGATGATAAGCAGTTGATCTATATTGCCTTATACCCAACTCATGCATGACTTGCTGGAACAACCCCGACATAAAATTTGAGCCTTGATCCGACTGAATTGCCTTGGGTGCTCCTACAAAACTGAAAAACTTGGTTAGGGCCTTAACTATGCTCTTTGCCTTTATATTCCTTAGAGGTATGGCTTCAGGAAATCGAGTGGATGTACACATAATGGTAAGTAAATACTGATTTCCAGATCTGGTCCTAGGCAAAGGTCCTACACAATCCACTAATACTCGACTAAACGGTTCTTCAAAAGCTGGAATGGGTTGGAGAGGAGCAGATGGTATCTTCTGATTTGGTTTACCTACCATCTGACAGACATGGCATGACTTGCAAAACTTCGAAACATCCTTTCTTAGCTTAGGCCAATAAAAATGACTCAAAATCCTATTATAAGTCTTATTGATACCTAAATGACCAGCCATAGGTGTATCATGAGCTAAACTCATGACATCTCGACGATAAGCAGCTGGGACCACTATCTGGTGAACAACACGCCACACTTCATCTGGAGAAGCATCAGGTGGTCGCCATTTTCGCATAAGGATGCCATCTTTCATATAGAAGCATTCTCCAACTTTAGTAGCCTCTTCTGGTGGAAGTGCCCTCTTACTAAGTTGAATGATATCTGGGTCTTTATGTTGTTCAGAGAGTAAACGTTCTCGGCTGAGGATGTCCTTGCCTTTGCTAACTAGTGGATGCAACTCATCATCCTCACCACCAAATTTTGGTAACAGTTCTTTCTTCTCTTGCTTCTTGATATTGTGTGGTTCCATGTTTGTTTGAGTGCCATTAAGGTCAGATAAGAAAGTGTCATTCAAATCAATATCAACAGAGGAATTTGTCTCGTCAAAGGCTTGAGTATGGTCTGCCTCCATTTCTCGTCTTCTGGCCATCGCTCTAGTAACAGCACAGGCTGGATAAATGTCATCATCTTCATCATTATACATGACATCTGGAGTGATCTTCTCACAAACTATAGGATCTGGTACAACTTTCCCACCAGCTAAATCGTTGCCTAACAACAAAGAAATGCCTGGAACGGGAAGAGTAGGTCGAACACCTACGATAACAGGTCCAGTAACTAAATCTGACTTCAAACTAATTCTATGCAGGGGAACATCAATGACGCCTAGCTCCACACCCTGTAATAAAACTGACCCACCAGTAGAAGTCTGCTCAGACAAAGGAAGCACGCCCTCTAACAATAACGTCTGTGCAGCACCAGTATCTCTCAAAATCTGGACAGGTTTTATTTCGCTAGAGTCACCGAGTGAAACAAATCCCTGAGACATAAAGGGCTTATAATCCTCCATAGAATCAATAGAACTGGACTGTGAACCCTGGACATCAGGAGTGTCAGAACAAATCGAAACTAAGGCTTCTCTATCACCTCTAACTGCCGCACAAGCATGTGGTTGAGTTTTATCAAAATCATTTTTTCTCTTAAGTTTAAAGCATTCACTGATCAGATGACCCTTTTTCTTACAATAACTACAAGTAGGAAGCGACCCTATTCCAGACGATCCTTCAACACGTCCTGAACCGGACTTAAAACCACCTTGGGATGGAGACTGGGAACTTGTGAAAGACTGAGACCCTGAACCACTCTTTTTATATGTGTCTGAATTGGTAGAATTACTGCTAGTCTGAGATCTTGAAACAAAATTCTTTTTATGAGACAGAGCATAAGTATCAGATATGACTGCTGCCTCTTCAAGAGTTTTCACATTCTTATCTTCTAAATGTGTTTTCAAATCTTGAGGAACACATTCCTTAAACTCTTCTACCAGGATGACTTGGCGCAAATTAGCAAAAGTTTTATCAAGTTTCTTAGATCTAAACCAGTGATCGAATAAATCTTCTTTCTCTCGTGAAAATTCAACAAATGTTTGATTATCAAACTTTCTATACTTTCTGAACTTTTGTCTATACGCTTCAGGTACTAATTCATATGCTTTTAATATTGCTGCTTTGACCTTCTCATAGTCTGAACTCTCAACTACCCCTAGTGCAGAGTATACCTCAGCCGCTTTTCCAACCAGTACACTTTGTAACATTGTTGACCAAACATTTCGTGGCCATTTAAGATTCTCTGCTACCTTTTCGAATTGTGGAAAATATTTGTCTACAGATTTTTCTTGAAATTTTGGAACTAATCTGATATTTTTTGCTGCATCAAATTCAGTTTTGACAACTGACGGTTCTGGTTGGTTCTGTAATTTTAATTTCTCTAATTCAAAGTTCATTTCACGCTCTCTTTCTCGCTCTTGTCTTTCTAATTTGTCTAATTCAAATTTTCGTTCACTCTCTCGTTCTTCTCTTTCTCTTTCTAATTTTTCTCTTTCAAATCGCATTTTCTCTAACTCTAATTGAAACTGATATTCTGCCATTTTATAAGAGCCTAACTCTGATTTAACTGTATATTCTGGAAGATCGTATTTTTCAAAGATGTTTTCTTCTACTAGTTTGTTTGCAACCTTAATTCTAATGTCTTGCTTTTTCTGAGAGGATTTAACATCTAACCCAAAATGCAAACCTAATGCGATCAAGTCATCCTTTTTTAACGTATCAAAAACCTGAACACTTGGTGAACTAAGAAAGTCTGTGACCGAAAACACCATGTTGATTTCTGCTGGCTTATAATTAAATTTAAGGTTCAATTAACAAAAATTCTGACAATAAACTGCAAAAGTGCAAGAAATTCTTTATCCCGGACGAGCCCCCAATTCTGTTATGGGTCAGAATAACCCTAAATGCCAGCAAAGATCAATAACACAATTTAAACTTAACAATAATTTATTTACAGTAATATATAATAAATATATCAAACATAAAGTACAAACTTAGCAAGAATCTAAAAATACATACATCAGAGTGTCCGTTGCTGCACACAATGTCCCAGTGAAAATATATCCCATTTATATCTCAATAGTGCTTATACGACAAAAGTCTATCTATGCATCGAATTGACAGGGTATTTATACAGTAATATAAATCTAGAATATTCTAGAAATTGTTAAAACATGATATTACTGGAACAATCTGGACATACACAAAATTTAAGAATGTTCTAGATCAAATGACCGAACATGTTGACCACTCTGGAATGTTCAAGAAACTAAATGTTACTAATAATACAAATACAACACATGAAACAATACAAATACAACACATCTGGCAATAAGAATTACACTGTAAATGGTTTGTTGAGGGCTTTCTGTTTCACAAGTGATTTCCGTGTTACAAGAACGTTCTTCGAATACCATCAATTTTGACCTTCCATCTTGGAATTTGACTGACCTTTAAAAAAATTGATTTTGCTATAACATCTGAATACCTGGTGCTAGGGTTTTCAAATCATTTCACAGGTGTATTCCTTGCGACAAGTTAATTTTCTGAAGTACCAATATGTTTGATTTTGCCCTCAGAATTTGTCCTACTTAAAAAAACTTCAGCCTTGACTAACATTCCTAATTGATTGCTTCAAGGGTTTCTTATTTCACAGGTTTATTCCTGCTAATTAGATTTATTTTTTGGAACCAACACTTTTAATCCCTTGACTTTCGAGTTTGACTTGCATTATAGAAACTAAAACCTTCACCATGAGCCACAAAAACATATAATTTTAAGTTTCTGATAAAAATGTATAAAAAGCGTGAAGAGTGATTGATGTATAGAGCTACTGGTATTATTCTTTTACAGATCAGTGATAGAAATGAAATCCTACATTACTTTTATTCCAAGTTTGACAAATCCTACATTGCTGGCTTATGTAAAGAACTTGCTAAAGGTATTCAGTGGATTATATATTATTCTAAAAACCTAACTTCTTTCATATATCAGAAAATCATAGTAGATTTTAAACAGCGGTGAGTGCTATTCAGAGATATACAAATGGTGATTTTCAATGACATTCGAAGTTAATTCTTTTTGCTTGGACAATGCTGTCTGACAAATGTTATTTTAAAAGCATTTTTGGAAAAAAAAAATAAACATGTACATACATGTATGTAAATGAGAATTTGAACTCCTGCTTTGAAATCAAAAGAAAATAAAATGACATCAATTGCTCATATCTTCTTAGGTGCCAAAGAGAAAAAAGACCAGATATGTCTGGAACTTTTCAGACAAGCTGGGGAAATTCTAGCAGAACACATTCTTGGAGTTGGACCAAGAATTGCAGAGGTAACATCTAGGACTGTTGTTAAACAGAAATACAGTGAAAACTGTCTAATCCGACACCTGAATAATATGACACACTGTGAATTCTGACCTTGGATTTCTTTCCCATTTTACTATTTTCCATGTTTTTCACACTGCACAATCGGACACCCTGTCTATTCACACACAAAATTTGTCTCCCAGTGCATGTCTGATTAGACAGATTTCACTGATTGTGACCTCAACAGCAACTGAAAAATATTAATTATCAAGTCTCTGGAAAATTTTAATTTTTTTCCCCCCAGGAATTACTGAACACACCCAGTGGATTACAGGTTGTCACAGTAGGGTCTGTCTGGAAAAGCTGGGATCTTATGAAAGACGGTAAGTTTTATGTTCAAGAGTTATTTAGAATTGAAAGAAAAAGGAAATGACATTATTTAGACAAATTTTCTATCTTGTAAAATAAAAGGATTTCAGTTACAACACGGCAATTATTTTATGATGTATGAAAAATGTACCCTGACTGTTCTAATTTTCTATCAGGCTTATTTTGTGAGAGCCCTGACAGACAGTTACTTTATTCTATTTATTTCTTTACGTTTTTACTTCGGTATTCTCCGTGTAACTTCGTATCTAAAGAAACTGGTTTTTCATGCACGAGCGATTTAGCGCTCACTATAAATACTTTTACCGGGGAATGTTCAATTAATGCGACGTTCGTTACAAAGAATCGCAGGTTTTAGTAAGTCTTTGGCATGTCAACAGAATCTTCAAGTTCAACTTCTACAAGTAATAGAGATGTTCCTCGAGAACTACGTACAGAGACAAATTCTAATTCCGGCCAGGATTTTGATGTTATTGACGCCGTCAGTTTATTCAACAGCAGGTTAGACACCGCCCTTGAAAAGCAAAAAACTCTCATTCTTTCTGAAATACAAGATAAGCTTAAACCAACAAATACATTTGAGTTCCGCGGAGAAGGAAACAAAATACAGTTTCAGTTTAATGAGGAGAGATTGCGAGGTTTAGAACTGTTATCACAAAAACTCATCTCTGGCGATTTCAGCGGTGTCACAGATTTAATTTCCTCCGAGAAAGAGGCCATTCGTCAACGAAACAAGATATTACGAATAGCTGATAAACATGGGTGGGACACGGTTAAGGAGTATGTGGATTCTGATATTGCTGACAATAGCGAGGATGCCGCCAGACTGCGCTCCGCTATTTCAAGAGCCGCCAACAAGAAACGTAAATCTCCTTACGACAGACCCGTTTTCCCTAAAACTTCAGGAGTGTTCGATGGTTTTTCCTCTAGGCAGCTTTTTCTCGGCAGTGCAAAATTCAACTACCGCCAGCAGTTCAACCCTAGATTCATTGCGCCCAGTTCGGCAAATTACAGAAATCCCCTACAAACACAAGTCGCAAACATCGTCTGCCACTACTGTCGACTCCCGGGCCATTTTGCAAGATTCTGCCCGTACACTCAGCAACTCCAGTGCTCAACCCCCCAGGGAACCCAAACAACAGCACTCGTTCCAACATCAACAGAAAACCAGCAATGAAGTTGAGTATGTTAGTCATATATTAGACCATAAATCTGACTTCGATGCAAATTCAGACATTTCAGTTAAAGATCGTTTAAAAAACTCTGTTGAATTTTGGAAGAATGTTATAAAGCCAGACGATTATATTTTAAATGTTATCAAATTTGGCTATAGGATAGAATTTATTATATATCCTGAAGTTGTATGTTTGTCTAACAACAAATCAGCACTGCAGAGCGCCCCTTTTGTTGAAAAGGCCATCTTAGAATTGCTGAGAAAAGAGTTAGTCATTGAATGCTTTGAACCGCCCCATTGTGTAAACCCACTGACCGTTTCAGCGCCATTGAATAAAAAGCCAAGGTTGATTCTTGATCTTAGACACGTCAATGCATGCGTTTTAAAGAGAAAATTCAAATTCGAGGGGTCTTCAGAGGGTCTCAATTTTGCCGAAAAAGGTTTATTTATGATCAAATTTGATTTAACAAGCGGATATCATCATGTAAACATCCATCCAGATTTTTACAAATATTTAGGTTTTTCCTGGAATTTCAATGGTTCAAAGCGTTATTTCGCATTCACAGTCCTACCTTTCGGTCTCAGCAGTGCTGGTTATATTTTTACTAAAGTATTAAGACCATTAGTATTGTATTGGAGAGCAAAAGCATACGGAGTTATAATGTATTTAGACGATGGCTGGGTTTGCGATTCCAAACAAAATTGTAGTTTAATGTCACAGAATATTCAAAAAGATTTATTGCATGCTGGTTTTCTTGTTAAAGCTGACATGAATTCTTAAAAACGCAACATGTTCATCTATGTACGACTTGTTTCATACCAACTATAGCCGTATTCCGCCATATTTCTTTCAGATACATTGTCTCAATGTAACGATATATACCCAAATGCGGTCGTTACACTTGAATGATTTTTTGGCTTGGGTATCGACTTGTGCACATCTCCGATGGTAAAGCATATGAGAACACATGGGGTGATCAAGACATTTCAAAACCACAACAAACAACATAATAATCATATTTCCGAATAATTATTGATTTGAATCAAAAGGAAAAAAATGCAAGTTTGGATGAGAAATTTAGATGCATGAGTACGTATTTTACAGTGCGCCAATTTATGCAGAATAAACTTGAAAGAAAAAGCAGTAAAATCTGCAAACACATTTTGAAATTATATCAATTGAATGGAACAAAACAACCTACGTCTTTGATTTGCAGGTCATAAAGATGCAATTGATGCATATCGAGAAAACGCCTCGAACGCTGTAAACGTACCCATACCTGGAAATAAGGTTACTGCATCGGTTCGACGATGTGCACAAGTCAAGTGATATACACCCTGAATCCCATTTATTGAAATATGCATCACAAAAAAGAAATAAACTCCATAAAAGCTCAATAGTAAACACACTGTCACTACTCTGTACAGACTAGCACGTCGATACACTTAGTCCGTGCTGATCACATTTTGGTCAGGGAAAATATCACAAGTGGAAAGAGAAGTTATTTGGAATTTGCGCGGCTGAAAGGGGGTGGGGGGGTTAAAGTATTATAACTGCTGTTCATAAGCTTTAATTGTCTATCTACAAGTAGTTCTAATATACATTCTATACAAAGTCATGTACATAGTCTGCAGTTGGTTTGCGTCGCAAAATTCATTTGTCAACTATAACTGATTATTTTAGAACTAACCTCAAATCTAAACCAAGTAATTTGAGGT